CGGACCACCTAGAAGTAGTTGGAGTCCAAAATACTGTGCAAAAAAATAATTTTGCCTTGCAGAAGGTATTGGTTTGTTTTTGTCTCCCTCTGAATTGGTTTCTGAGGTCTTTGAAGAAAGGCTTCTGGATCTCTTGGGAATGGAAAGTAATGTTTAGGGCAAAGCAGTTAGACCTAGATCTCTCTTCCTTGTGACTGGGAATCACTTTAGTAGATAAATACAAGCTAGTTCAATCCTTTCTTAGGTTTGACCATTTTTATTTTAGATGCCTGAGGAAGTGCACCATGGAGAGGAGGAGGTGGAGACTTTTGCCTTCCAGGCAGAAATTGCCCAACTTATGTCGCTCATCATTAACACCTTTTATTCCAACAAGGAAATTTTCCTTCGGGAGTTGATCAGCAATGCTTCTGATGTGAGTGTTCTGGGCATCTTCATTTGATGTATTTGTTTTTTCTCTTGAAAAGGAAGAAGGGGTGGTTTGGTATTTGGTGAGGCCTATTCTTAAAAAAAAAAAAAAACAAAACAGCAGCAGCTGTTCCTAAAATGCTTGCCTTGCTCTATATTGATAGAAGGGATGTTGTAATTGTATTTATGTAGCTAATTTCAAGGGATAATCAGAATTGAGATAATTTCGGGAGTAAAAGACAAAGTTTTCTTTTGGATGTGTTAAGACGATTATAAATTGTGGTTTGTTTCATTTTTAGGCTTTGGACAAGATTCGCTATGAGAGCCTGACAGACCCTTCCAAGTTGGACAGTGGTAAAGAGCTAAAAATTGACATCATCCCCAACCCTCAAGAGCGTACCCTGACTCTGGTGGACACAGGCATTGGCATGACTAAAGCTGATCTTATAAATAATTTGGGAACCATTGCCAAGTCTGGTACTAAAGCATTTATGGAGGCTCTTCAGGTATGTGGTGTTTTTTGGCTAGGCACCCACCATTCACTTGTATTGATTTTCTTTGGCATGCTGTTACTTGAAGACTTGTATTTGATTTTTAAACATTTTGGCAGGCTGGTGCAGACATCTCTATGATTGGGCAGTTTGGCGTTGGCTTTTATTCTGCATACCTGGTAGCAGAGAAAGTGGTTGTCATCACAAAGCATAATGACGATGAGCAGTATGCCTGGGAGTCTTCTGCTGGGGGCTCCTTCACTGTGCGTGCAGACCATGGTGAGTAGCCTTTCTTATTAGAGTGACTAGGTTGAAATTTCTTGTGGAAACCTTATGACAGAAATCTTCAACAGTAAGGTAGTTACTTTTCGCTGCAGCACTGCATTTAATTTACTTGTGATCAATTTTCCCAGGTGAGCCCATTGGCCGGGGTACCAAAGTGATCCTCCACCTTAAAGAAGACCAGACTGAGTACTTAGAAGAGAGGAGAGTCAAAGAAGTGGTGAAGAAGCACTCTCAGTTCATAGGTTATCCTATCACCCTTTATGTGAGTATTAACTGGTAACCCTCATGCAGTTATGTTTGTTATTTGGGGAATTGCATGGTCCTTTATGATTTGTACTCAAAAATTGCTGTTGTTGGTCCTTGGCAGTTGGAGAAGGAACGAGAGAAAGAAATCAGTGATGATGAGGCAGAAGAAGAAAAGGGTGAGAAAGAGGAGGAAGATAAAGATGATGAGGAAAAGCCCAAAATAGAAGATGTTGGCTCAGATGAGGAGGATGATACTGGTAAGGATAAAAAGAAGAAAACCAAGAAGATTAAGGAGAAATATATTGATCAGGAAGAACTAAACAAGACTAAGCCTATTTGGACCAGAAACCCTGATGACATCACCCAGGAGGAATATGGAGAGTTCTATAAGAGCCTAACCAATGATTGGGAAGACCACTTGGCAGTGAAGGTGAGGGACTATTGCATATTTGCTAAATAGAAGGGGACAGGTTAAAAAGAGTAGTAGTGTTGGTAATAGACTTGTTGTCCAGGAGTATCTGAAACTGTATGAGTTTACTATTGCTAATCACCTTTCTTAGATTTTCTCTCCTAGTGGTCTCATTTTGCTCCTGGTAGTCTTACACATACTGATAAAACTGTTTTGTCGTGTAATTAGAGATACATATTTTGTATAAGTCTAGATTCCTTTAGAGCTTGGGGTTTTTTGTTAATTTTACATAGAAGAATTGGTGTGTAGGCCAGAAGTGCAGGGGGTGAGAGGATTCACCAGACACAGTGGGGAGTAGAACAGGCAGATTTTACTGAAAATTCCTGCTAAGGGAATCAGTGGGCGAGACAGAAGAGGTCTGCTGTGGGTTAGCTCCCTGGCCAGGGATTGAACTTATGCCATCCACAGTCACTGGCAATAATTTGATAGCCCTGAGACTTTAACCCCTGTACCAGCGGGGAGGCCCACAGCTTAATTTTCTTAATTGTCATAGTGTTTGTTGCTGGTCTCCAGGGGAGATTTTTGTTTCAAACAGTTTGATAATTTGGGGTTGCAACTAAAAAGCTGCTCATAACTTGAAATACATCTACTGACTTGCTTTCCCCGTCTCCCAGCATTTCTCTGTAGAAGGGCAGTTGGAATTTAGGGCATTGCTCTTCATTCCACGTCGGGCTCCATTTGACCTTTTTGAGAACAAGAAAAAAAAGAACAACATCAAGCTGTATGTCCGCCGGGTGTTCATCATGGATAGCTGTGATGAGTTAATACCAGAGTATTTAAGTGAGTATTCTTTTAGTCTAAGGTTTTGGGTGGTTTTACGAGTACTTGGCATTCTCACTGGGACTGAAATCTTTTTTTTTTTTTTTTTTTTAAAGATTTATTTTATTCATGCATACAACAGCTGGGCTTTCACCCCAGAGGTGTGGGGTTGGGGGTTGAGAGGATTCACCAGAGACAGTGGGCAGCAGAATAGGTGGGTCTACTGATATACACTGGTGAGGGGAGCAGTGGGCGAGACAGGAGAGGTCTGCGCTATGTGGGTAACCCTCCCTGGCTGGGGATCAATGTCCTGCTTCAGTGGCTGCCAATAGCTTCGTAGTGCTGAGACTTGCCACCAAGGAGGCAAGGAGACTGTGCCACCAAGGAGGCCCTGAAACCTTCAAGTATCTTATGCCACATAAGTAAGTCGATGGTTCAGTGGAAAATTAAATCTTTATATTTAGGCTGACATCTCAATTGAATTTTTTAAAAATTTATTTTTTTATGCATACAGGAGCTGGGGTACAGGCCATAGATCTGGGGGTGAGAGGATTCACCAGAGACAGAGTGGGGAACTGAACAGGCAGACTGACTGAAAAACTGCTGAGGGGAGCAGCGGGCGAGGCAGGAGGGGTCTTCGCCATGTGGGTTGCTCACTGGCTGGCAGGGGATCGAACTCCTGCTGCAGAGGCTGTGGATTGCTTCATAGTGTAGTGCTTAACTCCTTCCGCCACCAGGGAGGCCCCTCAACTGAGCTTTTGTCCTTGATCACAGATTTTATCCGTGGTGTGGTTGATTCAGAGGATCTGCCCCTGAACATCTCTCGAGAAATGCTCCAGCAGAGCAAAATCTTGAAGGTCATTCGCAAGAATATTGTTAAGAAGTGCCTTGAGCTCTTCTCCGAGCTGGCGGAAGACAAGGAGAACTATAAGAAATTCTATGAGGCATTCTCCAAAAACCTAAAGGTAAGGAAGTAGAAAAGCTTAGTAATAATTACTATACGTTGTTTTTCTTTACATGGAGGGTAAAAGAATATTTCCAAGGAATAGTGTGTTCTTTTTTTTTTTTAAATGCAGGCACTGGGTACAGTCAGAAGCGCAGGAGGGTGAGAGAATTCACCAGAGCCAGAGGGGAGAGCAGAGCAGGCAGACTGACGAAATACACTGCTGAGGGGAGCAGCGGGTGGCAGGAGCGATCTGCCCGCCATGTGGGACCCTCACCCAGTGGCCCGGGGATCAAACTAGCGCTGCAGAGGCTGCGGGCAGCTTCGCAACCCAGCGCTAAACAGCTGTGCCACTGGGGAGGCCCTCCAAGTAATAGTTTTTTAATAAGATTTACTTATTTATGTATACAAGAACTGGAATGTAGGCTGGAGGTGTGAGGGTTGAGAAGATTCACCAGAGACAGTAGGGAGCAGAACAGGCAGATACACTGAAATACACTTGCTGAGGAGAACAGGAAAGGTCTGCGCCCAGTGGGTAGGCTCTGTGGCTGGTGATAACTTGATAGCATTGTCTTTAACCCCTGTGCTACCAGGGAGGCCCAGTAAGTTTTCTTTCTGCTCCTAAAGCTTGGAATCCATGAGGACTCTACTAATCGGCGACGCCTTTCTGAGCTGCTGCGCTATCATACTTCCCAGTCTGGAGATGAGATGACTTCTCTTTCAGAATACGTGTCTCGCATGAAGGAGACCCAGAAATCCATCTATTACATCACTGGTGTGTTTGAAACCCTTGGGTCTGATCAAAGTCTCTAGGAGGTGTAGGAGAGAGGGGAGAATAGCAAAGGAATACTTGGGAACTGGTCGTGTGTGAGATGTTCTGTTGTGACTCATAATCAATATCCCACAGGTGAGAGCAAAGAGCAGGTTGCCAACTCTGCCTTTGTGGAGCGAGTGCGGAAGCGGGGCTTTGAGGTAGTATATATGACAGAGCCTATTGATGAGTACTGCGTGCAGCAGCTTAAGGAGTTTGACGGGAAGAGCCTGGTCTCAGTAACCAAGGAGGGCCTGGAGCTACCTGAGGATGAGGAAGAGAAGAAGAAAATGGAAGAGAGCAAGGCCAAGTTTGAGAATCTCTGCAAACTCATGAAAGAAATCTTGGATAAGAAGGTTGAGAAGGTAAGCAGTTTTGGAACTGAAAGGTATTTTCTCAAACCTATTCAGGGCTGTTGCCCTCAGAACATTTCATTGGAGCTAATTTTGCTCTTGGCTCTTAGGCACTCAGGTTTGAGGCTGCCTTTGCTTAGGAAGTTTGGCAGTGACTAAATAAATAAATAAGCTTTGCTTCTGAGTTTGAGACTGAACTTTTGGAATACAATGTTTTCTCTTTGAAGTAATATGATCGTAATGTAAACTTAAGGTTTCTGTGTTTGTCCACAGGTGACAATCTCCAACAGGCTTGTGTCTTCGCCCTGCTGCATTGTGACTAGCACCTACGGCTGGACAGCCAACATGGAGCGGATCATGAAAGCCCAAGCACTTCGGGACAACTCTACAATGGGCTACATGATGGCCAAGAAGCACCTGGAGATCAACCCTGACCACCCTATTGTGGAGACACTGAGGCAGAAGGCAGAGGCAGACAAGAATGATAAGGCTGTCAAAGACCTGGTGGTGCTGCTGTTTGAAACTGCCCTGCTGTCTTCTGGCTTCTCACTTGAGGATCCCCAGACCCACTCAAACCGTATCTACCGCATGATCAAACTAGGTTTGGGTGAGTGTCATTGTGTGGCAAGAAGCTTGGGAAGTGTCTTTTTGATGCTGTTTGGGTCAAATCTCACAATGTTCTTTATTACTTCTAGGCATCGATGAAGATGAAGTGACAGCAGAGGAGCCCAGTGCTGCTGTTCCTGATGAGATCCCTCCCCTTGAGGGTGATGAGGATGCATCTCGCATGGAAGAAGTAGACTAGGAGTTTGTACCTACAGACCCTGTGCCCTCTGTATAGTGTCCCCATCTCTTCCCCTAGCAGCCTGAGTGGCTCTGCCCACCTGGTTCCTTCTGCTGATAAAACTAGTGTTTTTTTCTTTGTTGTCTTACCTAAGACAGGATAGGAGGGTCTCAAACCCTGTCCCCTCCCATGTTGACAACGGGTTTGGATGTTGTGAATTTTTTTGTTTATTTTGTTCTGAAATTAAAGTATGCAAAATAAAGACAATGCAGTTTTATACAGTTATGCTCTCACCTGTAAAGTGGATATAATACTACCTTGTCATCTAGAGCGTTACAGTACTCGTAAACAAAGATGACTTGGTAGCCATGTAGCTGTTAGAAGACCACACTGAAAGGGTAGGTTTAAAATGGGTTTTAGTCCCATTCCTAGAACATGTATTTAAGTAAAGCAACACACAGGACCAAGCCCATTGTAGCAATTTAATTTAATAAAATAAAATTATAAGAGCCAAAAGTTACATTTCCAAAGTACCAAAACCTGCAACTGGCTCCAAGGTGCTCCATGAGCTCAGGGTTCCAGGAGCACAGAGGGTGCCACTGCTGGGCAGGGCTCTAGAACCTTCCCTCCCCGCCAGCACAGCACCATCTTTCTCCTGGGAAAGCAGCATTTGGAGTCTACAACACTTTGTGCTTTTCTCTCCAGAGTAAGAGATGCAAGTCTCTGGGTATTCAAGGTAGGGGACAAGCACAGGTGACCAGTTGGGTGAAATTTCTGGGAAAGGGCGGGGGTAGTGTTTGGAAGGTGTCTGCCTTGTAAGACTCCTTCACACTGCATGTCTACAGTGGGGCGCCTAAAAATCCTGCCTACTAGAGGATGGGTGACTTAAGGCAAAGGGGAAGGCTTCCTCCAGGGCTCCCTGCCCCCAGCTGCAAAGCTGGTTCTGTGATACTGAGAACTGCGTTTTGCCCTTGAGCCAGCCTCCTCTGACAAGTAAATGTAGGAGACAGTTACACGAGGTACTATTTCACTTCACCCCTCAAACCTTCTGCACAGGGGACTCTACTGGCACAACTTTCTTACCCCGTTGCTTTAGGCGGCCCCGTGCATAGACTCGGAGCAGGAGAGCAGCAAAGACCACAGCCACCCCCAGGCCGCCCACCACAGTGATGGTGTGGCCGTAGAGGAGGCAGGAGAGCAGGATGGCAAAGGCCTGGCGGAGAGTCATGATGATGGTGAAGGCAGCAGCCCCAAACTGCCCAATGGTGTAGAAGATTAAGAGTTGGCCGCATGCTGAGCAGACAGACAGCAGGAGGGCATGTGCTGCAAACTCACTGTGTCGCCCCATGAAGCGGGTCCCCTCCAGGAGAGCCCCCTGCTCTAACAGGGAGCCCACTGTGAAGAGGCAGGAAAAAAAGTTGACCCCAAACATCATCTGCACTGATGACATCTTATAGGCAAACAGGGCTTCTTGCCAGTTTGAGGTGAAGCTGTCAAAGACAATGTAGCCTGCCAATAGGATGAGGCCCGAGAGAGTGGTGGCTGGGGAGCTGCGGGGCTCTGGTCCACTGGACAGTAGAAACATGCTGACCCCAATGGAGATAAGGCCAGCTGTCAGGTATTCCCAGTGTTCATAGCTGCGCCGGGACACCAGCTTTCCCATCATCATGACAGGGATCACCTTAGAGGCCTTGGCCAGCACCTGGGTAGGGAAACTGACGAATTTGAGAGCTTCATATTGGCACCAGCTGCTCAGCACATTTGACAGGCTGGCAAAGGAGTACCGGTACATGGGAGCCCCATGCCGGGGCTGCTTGAAGAGGATGCAGCAAAGGCCAGCCACAATCAGTGCCAGCACGCGGTTCATTAGCACCAGGAACTGTGAGTCCGTGAAGCGCTCCCCTGGTGATGTGGCCGTGGCCCCATAGCTTCGGGTCATCACTCTTTCCTGCAGCACACCCCAAGTCAGGTAAGATGCCTGGGTGGGGGAGGGTGAAGAGAGAAGACAAGAAGGAAAAGGTGGGGAAAGATGGACCTCAACAATCCCCTTGTCCTTAGGAGGGTGTCTCAGTGATTTAAAGGACAGCATGAGTACTTTGCTTCCTCTAGTGAGCCAAGCTTGGATTCACCTGGTAAGGAGTCAAGTGTGAATCAAACACTTACAATGACAAATGCTTTAGAACTGCCCAGATCCTGTCCGACGGTAAGGGGGTATTAGAGCGGACTCCAATCCCCAAGTATTTTCCTATCCTCAACCAATTCAGAGAGCCAGGAATTCTCAGAGATCAGTGATACAGGTTAAACATGACTCCACCATGCCATGAGGTCAGCACCTTAGCACCCCTCTCACAGGCAGTATTGGGGAAAGGTTGAGTGGAGACCCAGACTTTCATCAGTTTACTGTGCATGAGACACATTATTGCAGGGGGAAGTGTAATAATAGCACAGTAGAAATGAGAGGGGGAGGTAAAAGAAATGAAAAAGAAGAGAGGGTTTCCTCCAACCACCTCCACGCAGATGGTGGTACAGTTTGGCCCAGGAAAGAGGGAGACACATTACACACCGCTGAGCAAACCCTTGGAAGTGGTAGGATGAAACTTTGCTTCCAGATTCCTTGGAACCCACAGGACCTAACCCAGGAAGGGAAGCAAAGCCTGCCTACTCACCAGGAGCCCAGTGGCACAGGAGAGCAGCTTCAGGGCCTGCCAAGGAGTGGTCTCTGCAGGCTCTGTCCGGGCCGCCAGGGGAACTTCGTCAGAGGCCTTGGGCTCATTGCCAAATACACAAGTTTTCACCAGAGGGAAGCAGAGACCCCTGCCTGAAGAAGGCACACAAAATCAAGAAGCCCCGCATCTTCTCCAGAGACGCCACCCTGTCCTGCTGTTGGTCTGCAGGCCCCCCACCCCCTCCCTGTCCAAGCCACATCCTGTTAGGGCTGCTGGCCGGAACTCACAACCCGGACCTAGCACACTGTTCCCCCAACCTCCCTCACCTGTCTCCAGGTAGTTCTTGTGCCTGAAGTATCGCACTAGCAGGTAGCCAGGTACCATAAAGCTGGCATAGCCAGCAGCATTCACCAAAAAGCGGAAGAACCATTGCTGGGTCCATGCCTCTGGAGGGGCTTCCGGGGTCTCCCCACCTGCCCCCAGGGAGGGGAGTGCAGCCAGCACCACCACTGCCCACCACCTGCGGTAACAGCGGACATAAATATTAAGGTGCAGTTCCTCATCCACTCCGCCCTCCGGAGGGGAACCACACTGGAGAAGGGCCCGGAGTCTCCTCCCCGCCCCCCTCAGCTGCAGCCCAGCCCGGACAAAGGGCCTCTCTCTGGGGGGGGGGGGGATGGACGGCGCGGGCGAGGCAGGGCTCCCTCCTCCCAGGGGGAGGACCGCCCCTCCGGCCACACAGGTTCCCTCTGTTCCCTTCAGAGCTCGCCGGCTGTTGGGGCCAGAGGCGGGGCCCCCTCCCAGCCCCGCCCTTCGGGTTCCCGGAGCGTCAGGGTTCCCCAATTCCTGTGCCAGACGCTCTCGAACCCTCGGAGGAGCACGCCGCGTCCCCGCCCCCACCCCATGCCTGCCGGCCCCGGCCGAGCTGCGCGGGCCTAGCGCCCAGCAGCCGGGACCCCACCCGGCCCCCGGTGCCGGGGAGCAGCGGTCACGTGGCCCGGGGTCCAGTCACGTGAGCTCGTGGCTCCCCGTAGCCCCCACCTGGCGTCCATGGTTCGGGCCGCGTGGGGCGGAGGGGGACCGGGGAATGCGGGTCCCCAGGCCGCACGCTCCCTCCGCTCCCGCCGCCGTCTCCAGCGGCCGCCAGTGAGTGAGCGGCCAGCGGAAGTGCCGCGCTCTTCCCGCCTCCCTCCCTGCGGCCGCCCCTCCGCGCCCAGCCGCGACCACGCAGCGCCCCGGGCCGCCGCCGGGCCACAGCGCCCCCGCGCGGGCTGGAGGGGACGCCGCCGGGTTCCTGGGCGCCGGGCTGCCCCAGGGTGGGGGGGTTGGCGAACCCCCAGGTCCGAGCCTCCCGCTGTCTGAACGTCGCCCTTAGCCCTCGCAGGCAGCCCTGAAGGTAGGGGGGACCACTGCCATCTTAGGGACTGGGACTCTGAGGTCCTGCATCCCAAGCACTTGCCTTTCTATAACAGTTTTTCAGTTTGACCTTCCGGAAGGGGTCTCCTTCCCTTTTTGGCTGGGCCATCTCCACCCCGCTGTCCCCATGACCTTCGAGGCTTTGCATGACCCCGTCTACCTCGCCCACCTCATCATCTACCCCCTGTAGCGCCCCGTTAGCCTGCTCTCAGTTTCTCCAATTCACCGGAGGCCTTCCCCCCATGTTCTGTCCCATCCTTTACTCATCCTTAAATGCCAGTTGAGATGGTACTCCCCTGACCACCCAAAGTATGGCTTTCCACCCATTCCATTGTTCTCCTTCCCCCCATGCTTCCCTTCACAGCATCCATCACTGTTTGTAATTACAGATTTATTTGGATGTTAATGATTTTAATGGCTATTTCACTCACTATAAACTCCAAGTGGCCAGGGACTGTGTTGGTTTATTTGCCCATATTCTTCATGCCAGCATAGGCCTGACCTCACAGGACCCTCACACGTGTGTGGAATGAGAGGAGAGAACATAACACAGCCACAGCTCCCTGAAGTCACCCTTCTTATGCTAGCCCTTCTCTACAGTCTCTCCTAGATGGCAACCTCCAGGGCAATAGTGAGGCCTCCCACCTCTTATCCCTCTGCATTTCCACAGGAAGGGCAGGGGTCTGTGCTGGGCAGAAAGGCCTGAGGGCTGTTAGTCCCTCTTCCCTATCTAACAAGGCTCTACACTGCTCAAGTGACAATATCCCACTCTCTACCTCTACCACAACGTCTCAAGGCAGGTCTGTCTAAAATTCCCCAGTGTACGCAGACCTGCATGCACGCAAAATAACTGACAGGGGAGGGCATTTTAAAAGTCTCTGATATTTTAGTGTCATGTAATTGAAACTACCCCCTCCCCAAAGGCTGAGTTCAGGGCCCTCTATATGAAGTCGTTAAACAAGTGTTTAAGAATCCTCAACAGCGGTGAGATGGAACCCTTCAGGGCCCTGCTTGTTCATATTTCAGCCTTTCTCTTCACTCAGAAGAGTCTCTTTTTCCTGAAGATTGGCAGTTTCAGGCTGACCCAACATGGGTAGAAACAAGAGCCCTTGTCATTCTCAAGAGAGGCAAACATGCTTCACCCAGGACACCTGGGGCTCTGGGAGTCTTCCAAGAATTTCTTCCACCTGGGAAGCTCTTTCTTCCAGACTGGCTCTCACTTGTGAACCTGCTTCTCAGATTAGGGCTGTGCTGGTCTCAGACTCTGGCCTCAGCAGTCCCTAGGACACCAGAAGGGCACGCAATGCTTGGGCCAAAACTGCAGCAGCTTCCAGATGGGAAGAAGTGGAGGCTCCAGAGCCCCTGACACTGCCCTGGCTTCAGTCGGCACACAGCAGCGGCTTCCCTGAGATCTTCAGATCATCGAAGGGCAACAGAGCAAGGGGCTAAGAAAGAAAATGGAGAGACGAAAGGTCAGAGCCCCAGGGCCTCCCTGGTGGCGCAAGGGGTTAAGATGCAACCTGTGAAGCTATCCGCAGCCTCTGCAGCACGAGTTCAGTCCCTAGCCAGGGAGTATCCACATGCGCAGCAGACCATTCCTGTCTCACCCACTGCTCCCTTCAGCAGTGTATTTCAGTCAATTCACCTGTTCTATTCCTCACGGTGTCTCTGGTGACTCCTCTCACCCCCCACACCTCTGGTCTGTACCCCAGTTCTTGTATGCATAAATAAATAAATCTTTTTTTTTTTTAAAGAAAGGTCAGAGCCCCAGGGGATAAAGCAACAGTGGGGGAAGGACGCTGGGGAAACCTATGGGGCCATTTCCTCCTCACCAAATGACAGTTGAAGGACATCAGGCAACTCATCTTCCTTCTGATCTCAAAAATACTGCTCTAGGCTAGGGTCAAGCCTTGAGGCCTTAAAAAAGACTTTACTCTCTAAGAAAATGCCAGAATATCAGAGATAAGAACTAGAAGGTGATCCAGCTCATGTACCTATTTTTTTCAAGGTGGGAGAGGTAGAGGAAGGGGGAAAGAGCTTGGGGTAGAGGAAGGGTATTCACAAAACACTTTGAATAGTATTTCACACTGAATATCTAAAAATGGGAAAGATAGAGAAAAACTAGGTTTCATTTCTATTAAATTCCAAGAGCTAGAAAGACCAGGGTCCACATTCCTCATCTGCAACCATCTCCTGCAGTCTAGTCAGGAGTGACCACCCACAGGGACTCTCCAGGGTCCATAGGCCCCACCACCCTGCTGTCTCATACACAGCCTGCTTCACTGGTTTACTTGGGCTGCAGGGCTCCTGCAGGAGTCTTAAGTTTGGGGCCTTGGTTGGTATTGAGAGAAGGGCAGAGATTTGGCCAAGGTTGCACAGTTGATGAGTGATGCACTGGTCTATTACACCCCAGGACTGCTAATTCCTTGGACATTTCAGCTCTTACAGCTGCCTTAGCCCTACTTGTGTGGATCCCAGAGAGCAGAGCTGAATATTTGCTTACATCCTCAGCCAGGTCTTGTGGAGTCTCATCCTCCACGTTCCGAAGCAGGGAGTCAGCACCTGCCTGGCACAGAGTGGATGAGATGCTGTTGAGGCCCCGGCCAGCTGCGAGGTGCAGGGGTGTGCAACCATTGAGCATACGGGCATCCACCCGGGCCCCAGCCTGCAGCAGGAACTGCACCAGACCCCGCTCCTGGGTCTCCACGGCCAGGTGCAGCGCTGTCTTCCCGCTCGTGCCCTCCTGGAAGGGAATAAGGTTGTCAGCCAAGGCCCTCCTAAGGACGCCTGCTGGGGGCCCAGGCCCACCTTTCCTGACCATTTGGTCAGGGGACCCCCGGTGGTGGGCGGGCCCTTGGCTGGACAGCGCCATGATGGGTCGCCTCACCTGCGCATCAATGTCAGCTCCGTTCTGAAGCAGCAGTTCCATGAGCGTGGGGTTCTTCTGCAGGGTGGCGATGTGGAGACAGGTCAAACCTGTGATGGGGTGAGAGTGGGGCTGCAAATCTACCTTCCTCTCCCTCCCTCCCGCCCGCCTCCTGTCTACCTCCTGATCCCTCAGACCCAGGGGACCCACGGCCCACTCAATGCCGCTGATCACAGGACTGTTAAAATGTAAACCCAAAAACCCCCTCAAAAGTAAGGGGAGAAAGGGACTCAAAGTTTCCACCTTTCAGAGTCATGTTATTGAAACTTTCATGCTTCAGGGGTCAGGTTGCTAAGTGACGCCCCCCCATACACACATCCTCCCCTTCTCCCCACTCACTCAGTAAAACTCCACCTGCCTTCAAGTCCTCTCCAAAAGCTACCTTCTTCAGAGCCCCCCTGAATCCTCAGGCCCCCAGGCCCTCCCCAAGGGTTACTTCCCCTCCTCCTCTTCCCCGTGAGTCCCTAGCCTTTCTGCTATCTCCTTTCTGGCCCAGGCCCCTCTCTTTTTGCTTAGAGAACTAGTTTCAGCTTCACAAGCCTCGCCTCCTTCAAGTCTCTGCCTAAATGCGGCTTTCCCTGGACGTCCTAATTACAAATCATCCCAATCCCTTCCCCCCACATTCAAGTTCTCACTCTGCCCTGCTTTCCCCATAGCGTGTACTTGCCTTTGAACCTACTATATAACTCACTCCTTATATTCAGTTCTGTCTCAGTCATTCTGTTTTGTTTGCAGATGCAAACTAAGCTTCTGGAATAGTGACTAACACATTGAAGACCCTCAGTATATTTTTGAATTAATGAGTTCATCTAAACTCCATTATTCTGAATATGAAATTGAGGGCAAGGTAAAGTGTTCTGCTTAGCATGCAGCAGGTGCACAGTAAATTCTAAATTCATTCCTTCATTCAACAATGACATACTTAGTACCCATGTGCATCACCTTCCCTGAGAGTGGGGTCCCCTGTCTCCTGTCCCCACTTTATCGTAAGGGCTCTGGGGCTGCCAGCACCTTGCCAGTTTTGCAGGTGGAGGTCCAGGGAGTGAGGTGGTCCTCTGCCAGTTTCTGGCTGTCCCTCCAGCAGGCAGCGGGCACAGGCCAGATGCTGGCGCTGACAGGCCACATGCAGGGCTGTGTCACCATGCCGGTCCTGTAGTTCCCGGCTGGCCCCCTTCAGCACCAAGGCCTGGACTGCACCTGGCTGGTCCAGATGTACAGCGAGATGGAGCGCAGTCTGTAGGCACAAACAGAAGGTCACAGGGCCACTGCAGCATGCTCCTATCTCTGGGACATGGTATCGCGGGCACAGCAGTTGCCAGCTGCCAGCACCTCCTTTGAGGGTGACTTATAAAGGCTATGCCCTTGGTCTTCCAAGGAAGTGCTATAAACTTTTCCCTCTGTCACTTCCCTGCCAAGCTCTAGCAACCCCCATCTGTAAGCAGGGAAAGGGAAGTGGTCCCCTGGTCTTCTTGTAGGTCCCCTCAGCCCCTGGAGAAGGGACAAATGGGGCAGGGTCTAGCCTCTCACCCCTGTGGAGACCCCTGTAGGCTACAGGGAGAGGCTGGGGGAGAGAAAAAGAGGGGCACCAGGCAATCTCCAGCTGGCGCACTCTGCCTAGAAGGCCCCATTCAGATGTCACCTGCCTGGCTGCTCCCCACAGACACTGGCACCCCACAGCAGCTAGTATGGGTCTCCATCACAACTCTGGTCACCATGCTACATAATGAGAAGTGATGTGAGTTCCCCTATCCAGGCTGCGAGCGCCTTGTGGGCAGAGGCTTACTCATCTCTACCCTCAGCTTCTCGCCCAGTGTCCGGCATACAGTTTCAAGAATGAGCAACCTAAATGTACTTATGTGGCTGCTGAGGATGGCGCACAGGGTACGTATCTAGGCACGGCCACCCCTCCTCTCCACCCACCTGGTAAAGGTTGTTCTGAATGTCCAGGACTTCCTGGGGCAGCAAAGTCAGGCAAAAGAGCAGCACAGCTGGGGCCTCATGAATCACTGCCAGGTGGACCAGCCTGGGAGGCAAGGCAGGGTTTGGGGTCAAAGCTCAGACCAGAGAGAATGGGATGGGGTCCTGGGGTTAGAAGGAACACGTCGACCTCTAAGTAGCCACCCATAGGGAAGGTGCAGGAAGTGAGAATTTGGGCCAGGAAGTGAGGGTTGTTGGGGGAAGACAGGATCCTGGTGGTGGGAGCTTCAAGTTCCTATCTCTGGCCTTCAAGAGGGTCTTGGCAGGTGGGAGTGTGGGCAGAGGGTTGATGGGACCAGATCCCTCTTGTCCAGCCTGCCCCCCACCCCCACTCCCCTCCGGTCCCGGGGTCCCGCCAAGCCAGCTGCACTCAAAGCCAAACTGAAAGCAGCTGGGGTAGTGCAGAGGTGGTTTCCAGGGTGAACTCTCCACCTCCTCACACCCCAACAGGGGAGAAAAGGGGACTGCGGTAGGGTCACCCCCATCCTTCCAGCAGTGCAATGTTACACTCTTAGGGAGAGCAAACAGAATCTCTTGGGAGGGAGGGAGGAGACAAAACAGCATCCTGTTGCTCCTTTCACTAGGGAGCAAGAAGGCGAAACTTCATGGAGCACAGACTGGGGGGACGTGACCTCCATTCCTGTGTGTACCTCCAAATGGAGGTCTGTGAAATACAGAAAATATATGCTTTTGGGGGGACAAAGAGCGTTAACCGAGGGCTGGTGGGGAGACAGCTGAAGGGGAAGTTCCAGTGCTGGGGTTTCCCCCGTATCAGGTGGGGAAAACGAAAGACAGAGCTGGAGGGTCTAGTCCAGGACAGCTGTCTTGGGGCTTTAGTGAGGGGGTAGCTTGGCTAAAAGGCCTGTCTGGGCTGGGGAGGGGGCTGCTCAGGCAGAAGGGGAGCAGGCTTGGGTGGCAGGCAGCAGGCGAGGCCCAGGAGAGAGAGAGCCGGAGGGAGGGAGGAACCGCTCTGGAAATCCCCTCGGCCAGGGCCTGCTCTCTGGGTCACATTCCTGCAGCCACCTCCCTCTCTCCCTCAGTGTCCCCTCCTCCCACTTCCTCTTCCCATTTCCATAGGTCCCAGAGCTCAGACACCAAGGAGGAAAAAAAGTGCCCCTCCTCTTCGGGGACCCCCTGGGAAGTCTTGACACTGCTCCACCAACACCACCCCTCCCCTCAAGTCTAGACAACACCAGTCTCTAACCAGAAATGGGAAAGACCAGGGCGGGGAAAGGGGAGGGGGGGATTGAGAGGCTAACAAAGGATGGCTGTGTCAGAAGTCCCCAATCCCTGGATCAAAGGTTAGCCATAGGTATTCCCCATGGGGCCTCCACAATGTTGGTTCTGGGCATGAGGATCAGAGGATCAGTGATGTGGGCATAGAATACAGCAAGGCCCAGGGGTGGCTCCTCTCCCACTCACTGGGTCCAGAGGCTATACTTGTCACAGGGCAGCCAGGATTGAGACCCTGCTCCTCCAACAAAGCAGGACAGACACCTCCTGCTTCCTCTAGCTCCTCCCCTTCACTCCTTGCAACATCTCTGATCTGGGACCTCAGCCCCCCCTCTACTCTGTTTCTCCCAGTAAATCCAACCACCCCCTGTCCTGTCAGTGCTTCCTAAAGGGCAAATCCTCCCTGGCCAGCTCCTCCCACACAACTGCCTCTTACTCCAGCTCCCTAGTGGCCCAGTCCCCACTAAGCCCCATCTGGGCCTGGGAGAGGAAGGGTAAAGCCAAGGGGTCTGACAGCACAGTGAGGGGGCTTGGTGGGCTCAGGAGGTGGAGGGTGTAAGTGAGGGGGACTCCAGCCCTCACTTCCCCTTTCTCAGCAGAGGAGGAAGTAAGCTGGGTCTACCAGCAGCCTGTCTATCTGCTGGGGAAAGAGTGCCTGGTTCACCCCCTCCTCCTCACAACCAGTCTCAGCTCTGCACCCCTACCCAAAACTTCCTGGCCCCCACCAGCCACCTATAACTGGCACCCTTTGCTCCTTGAGACAGGGCATTCTGAGGTCAGGAGTTGGAAATCCCAGATATTGAGCAAACAAGGATGCCCTCCCCCCAGCAGAAAAAAAAAAAAAAACTGGACTGGTCAGGGGACTTTTCTCCTACTCAGGGTGGATTATTTGTAGTTTTCCAGATGCTAGCTGTAGCTCCAGGTACATGGTAAGGGCCCTGCCAGCTCCACCCACATCCATAGGGTGGGCAGAGATGTGATGCCAGGTCATCTGGTCTGGGCCTGGCTAGATCTCAAAAGTGGGCTGAGGAGTTAAATTTGGAGTTTGAAAGAGTGGGGACTGTCCCTTCCAGGACGGTTAACTTGAGGGATCCCCATAGAGGGGGTGGCTGGCATGCTGTGGTTCCTGGGGAGGCCCCAGGTTCTCCCCAGGAGGAAAGGATCCTGCCGGCCTAGCCCCCATACTCACGTGTCTCCGTCATCTGAGATGTAAGTGAGAGCTTCCAGCTGCTGTGGGCTCAGCGCCCCCGTGGTGGGGAGAGGTGAGCCTGGAGCTGGATCTTCGGTCTCGGCACCCCCCAAAAAAGGCAGGGGCTCTGTGAGCGAAGAGGAGCCATAGGTAGAGTCGGCTCGGTCCCCATCTGTGTCTTCCTTCTCCTGTGTGTCCTCGGCGGTGCCCGTAGGAGGGGTCCAAGGCTGGGCGCCCCCGCCTTCCGAGGACCCGGGGGCAGAGACCGGGGTAGGCTCAGGCAGGGACCGCAGAGAGCGTAGAGACTCGATGCCCGAGTCATACTGGCTCTCGTCCGTCTCATCCCGCCCCTTCCGCGCCTCCGACATGCCGGCGGTGCCGGTCCGCTGGGGCCCGGTCCGAGGAGGATCCGGCTCGGGGCTTCGCCGCACCGCCTTTCCGGGCTGCAGGTTCACCTCGCGGAGCGGCCGCTCAGCCTGGAGTGGCCTCCTTTCCCGGCAGCGGGCGCCGGAGGGATGGGCGACACGCGCGGACGAGGGTCAGCGCTGGCGGGTCTACGGCAGCGGATCCCCGGGCAGCTGGGCAGCCCGGTCTGACGCGCTCTCCGCCCCGCCCCCGGCCCCGCCCCGCCCGGCGCTTCCGGGCCGAGGCCCCGCCCTTCGGAATCTCCCTACCCCGCCCGCGGTGCTGGCTTTGAGTCAGGGGTTACCCTGTTCTGACTCACTGAAGAGTCCGTGCCGTGCCGTCCATTCATCCCTCCCTCCATCCATCCATCCACTCATTTTCATTCCTTCTTCATTCATTACCCCCATTCATTATTTATTCATTTATTTGGTGGGATGGGATAGGGAAGCATTGCTTCCTATTTCCTACCCATTTCTCTTGCTTTCTTAACTACCAATGCTAGGAATCTAGGTAAGGAAAAGGAGCAATTGTCTTTAAAGTAGCAGTTTTCGGGCCTCCGTGGTGGCGCAAGGAGTTAAGACTATGAAGCTATCCACAGCTTCTGCAGCACGAGTTCAATCCCTGGCCAGGGAGATACCCACATGGCGCAGCAGACCTCCCCTGTATCACCCGCTGCTCCCCTCAGCAGTGTATTTCAGTCAGTCTGCCTGTTCTGCTCCCCACTCTGTTTCTGGTGAATCCTCTCACTCCTCACACCTCTGGCCTGTACCCCAGTCCTTGTATGCATAAATAAATATCTCTTTAAAAAAAATAAAGGAGCAGTTCTCCCTTTGGGCCTGGCTCTAGGGTTTTCTGTCAGCTTCTCAGATCACATACAGTTGGGCACGAGGACATGCTTTTTTTTTTTTTTAAGATTTATTTATTTATGCATACAAGAGCTGGGGTACAGGTCAGAGGTGTGTGTGGGGTGTGAGAGGATTCACCAGAGACAGAGCGGGAAGCAGAACAGGCAGACTGACCAAAGTACACTGCTGAGGGGAGGAGCAGGTGAGTCAAGAGAGGTCTGCTGCGCCATGTGGGTATCTCCCTGGCCAGCCAGGGGTCAATCTCGTGCTGCAGAGGCTGCGGACAGCTTCATAGATTGCATCTTAACCCCTTGTGCCACCAGGGAGGCCCAGGACATGCTTTTCTGAAAGAGGATTTTCTCAAGCAGACTGTTGTCTAAAAGGGCAGCATGATCATGTTTTGTTATTTAAAAATGTGGAGTGGTCATTCCTCACAGGGGTGAGACACAGGGCTCCAGTGGTTACAATATCTGATTATCTCCACCCTTCAGGTATATTTGGTTTCTCATGGTGGTGCCAGGTGGGAGGCCCCATTTGTGGCCCAACATGCCTGGCCACATTATGCTGAGGCCCCCACCATAGACACAACCCCAACGCAGCACATCCTTCCTCCCTGTCCCTGTCCCTGGGACTAAGGAAGCAATAGGCCCACCCATATGTTGATCCCAAAACTATGATTTATCCCTTATCCCAAGTGTTACACACCCAGGACCAGCAAGGCCCTTAGAAGGGCATCCCCAAGGGAATAGTTCCCTATGCCATCCCTGGTATTGGGGGAAGAAAGCTGGATGAGTGTAGACAGTTACTAACCAGTCTCCTCCCTGGTCTCTCCCATTCAATTCATTTTATTGACCCATGTAGTCATCCATTTAACCAACATAGAACTTCTATGTGTCTGACATTGTTCTCCCTGATGGAAAAAAAACTGGGTATTACAATAGCACTAATAACAATGACTATGACCCTTCCCCCCCAACAAAAAAATGTTCTTTGGCCCAAGCCTTCAAAAAGCTCCCTGGTAATTAAAACACAGACTAGTGTGCTAAGATGGGAGGGAGACAGAGTACTGGGTGGGAGGGGGGTGCACACAGTGGGGCCAACTATTCAGTAGGCTGAAGGACAGAGGTTATGTTTGAACAGGAGATAGGGAAGGGAAGAGGTCTGGGGAGAAGAAAAGTGCCTAGTCTTGGGGCAGAGTGGAGAAGTCTGGAGACGGGGTGTAGGCAGGAAGATGGTCTGCATCCATGTGGAAGACTAGAGCGTGGGCCGGGAGGATGTGCTAAGCAGGAGACAGTGAGAAGCCATGAGGGGAAAGCCCAAGGAAACTGAAGCATCTTCTTGCTTTGGGGTCAGGGTGATTTTAGATGTTTTCAGCTTCCTCTCCCATCCTCAAAAGCTGGAGTAAAAGAAGAGTCATAGGGCCTCCCCGGTGGCGCAGCGGTTGAGTGCTGGGTTGCGAAGCTCCCCGCAGCCTCTGCAGCGCCGGTTCAATCCCGGGCTGCTCCCCGGCAACCAGCCACCGCAGGAGGGTCCCACATGGCGCGCAGACCTTTCCTGCCACCCACTGCTCCCCTCAGCAGTGTACTTCGGTCCTTCTGCCTGCTCTGCTCCCCGCTCTGGCTCTGGTGAATTCTCTCACCCTCCTGCGCTTCTGACTGTACCCAGTGCTTGTATAAATAAATAAATAAATATTAAAAAATAAATAAATAAATCTTAAAAAAAAAAGTAGAGTCATAAACTCCAGATATAGACTACTGGGTTAGAAATCTGGTACTATCATTTCTATTTTGAAATTTGGAAGATGTGAGCCGACTTGCCGTCAAAGAGTCAGAAAGTGCAGAACCAGGTTGTTCCTAATCAAAAACTTCAGATGTTTTTCAGGTGAACTTTCTTTTTTTTCTTATTTTTTCTTTTTAAGATTTATTTTTATTTATTTATACAAGCACTGGGTACAGTCAGAAGCGCGGGAGGGTGAGAGAATTCAGCAGAGCCAGAGCGGCTGCTGAGGGGAGCAGCGGACGACAGGAGAGGTCTGCGCGCCATGTGGGACCCTCCTGCCGTGGCCGGGAGCAGCCGGGATCGAACCGGCGCTGCAGAGGCTGCGGGCAGCTTTGCAACCCAGCGCTCAACCGCTGCGCCACCGGGGAGGCCCAGGTGAACTTTCTTTTATGAAGGTCTTAGGGGCTGAGGCACCTGAGCTCTGTAAAAACACAAAGAACAGGAAAGTGCACCGACCTACCCTCTTATTCACATAGAGGCTGAATTTAAGGAAAAATCTACCCTAAATCAGTGGGTGTCTGATTCTGAACCTAACAGGTGTATGACAGCCCCTATTCTGGCCACATGAGGTCAGTATTGAGTCACCCACTGCTTTCAGCACTTAGGCTGCCCTCTAATAGGAAGCACTTCTGTGGACACATCCAGAATGGGGAGAGGGACCATGGCATGAACACCTGGAAAGCTGACCTGGGGACTCTGATTCAGGCTGCAGCACAGTCAAGGCCCTGGATTCACTTCCTCAATTCCAGTCTTCCATGAGGCTGGGGCCCTTGGGTCCTGTTCTCTCTGCTGGTGTTTTCTGCTTCCCTTTGTTCTGCTGCCACTCCCAGCCAGCACCCACCCCAGCCAGATTCATCTTCAGGAACTTGGTCTGCTGCTACCGCTGCTGCAGCTGCTCAACTGGTTCCTTCTACAGCCCCCTCCCTTCGCCCCTTTCCCCCCCCCCCCCCCCCCCCCCCCCCCCGGGGTTTCCAAAGAAGTGTAAGTGGAGAAGGGGAGAGGCTGGTCTTTTCTCTCTTGGGGGCTCTGGAGTTGGCCAAAAGAACTCTTCTTTCAAAGCCCCCTGTGATGGATAAGGAAAGGTAATAGGGGTGGGTAATAGGAGGAAGATTATAACAATTAAATGGGGAGTGTGAGGATTCTAAGTTAGGAAAGGCCAGAATTAGGAGTTCAGCTCTCTGTCTGCAGTGAGGACTGAACTAGTTGGAATAGGCTGAAAGCAGAGGGGGTTGGAGCTAGTTATGAGGCAGGATTTCCCAAAAAGCATGGGTGGGAGGCACTGGGACAAGCTACCAAAAGAGATTCCTCTGTGGTGGGCATAAAAGAGAAGCCTGCCTCTTCAGGACCTCCTTTCCTCTGTGCAGAGAGGATGGACTCATGACCTAGGGAGCATCATGCAGGTGGGGTGATTCTGAAGCAAAAGGTGGACAGAGACTGACCACCAAAAAGATAAAAGACCAGCCTCTCCCCTTCCCCATTTACACACATTACCCTTCCTTGGAAACCAGGGGAAATAGGGGTGAGGCGAGGGGGCTGTAGAAGGAACCTGTTGACCAGCTGCTCACAATTGCACCAGACCAAGTTTCTGAAAATGAATCTGGCTGGGGTGGGTGATGGTTGAGAGTGGCAGCAAAACAAAGGGAAGGAGAAAACACCTTTTGCCTCACCTGAAAAGGAAGAGGAAGGTAAGACCAGAAGTGGGTGTGTGGGGTGTGGGGACAGGCCCATATGAGGTGCAGGACTATCCATCCCAGCAGAAAAACTTGTCTCCTACCCCCAAAGATCAGATATTTAGGCTTTCCCTCAAGCTGATTTCTTTTTTTTTTCCTAAAGATTTGTTTATTTATGCATACAAGAACTGGGGTATAGGCCAGAGGTGCGGGGGGGGGGGGGGGGGGGGCAAGAGGATTCACCAGAGACAGAGTGGGGAACAAAACAGGTGGATTACCTGAAATACACTGCTGAGGGGAGCAGCAGGCAAGACAGGAGAGGTGTGCTGCACCACGTGGCTGGCTCCCTTGCTGGGGATCGAACTTGTGCTGCAGTGGCTGCAGATGGTTTCATAGTGCTGAGACCCAGGGAGGCCCTCAAGCTCATTTCTTATCCCCAAATATCCCCATGAACTTTTGAATGGAAAAATCTGGATTCTAGGACTAGCCTGTGACCTTGAGTTAAGTCCTCTGCCTTGGTTCCTTGTGGGCAAATGGGGTAATATATATCAAAGATTCTAATGTAGCACATGGCACATAGTAGGATTCCAGAGTGATATGCACACACAGATTGATCATGCATAGCCTTTACCCCATTCTATGGTAATGAGTGGTTTCCATGTTCCCCCTTCCACGTTAGCCTTTGTGCTCCTTGAGTGTAGAAAATCATGTTTTTCATTTCTGAATAGGACACACAGTAGGTTTCTAACACTTGTTTCTTGCATGGCTGTATGCAGGAAAGAATGAATGAATGAATGTCAGTTTCCTTCCAGGTTGTTAGGGGGGATGGGGAGGGAGCACCAGGGAAAAGCAGTGTGGAAGGATGGTATGAAGGGGTAGGTTATCTGCAGTCACAGCCCGGCCTGTGGTCTGTGACTTTGCCTCCTACACACACACAGGTCAGAGCCTTGGAGACTGACCAATCAAATTCCTCACTGCACAGAGGAAACTAAGACACAGCGAGGGGAAGGCAATTGCCCAAGGTCACACAACTCAATGGCAGAGACAGGATTAAGAATTAGAACTCGGCTTCCCATCTCCAGCCTAAGAGGATGTGCACACTCCATTGCTTCTCTGGGGCTGTTCTTCTGGGGAAGGTGACAGAAGGTCGGTTCCGGTGTCCTCCGCTCTGCCCTCCGTTAGTCCTGTCTCACATCTAGCTCCAATCCTTTCCCTTTCACCTTCTTTCTATTCCTGCTCCGCTAGACCCGGTCTCTAAAGTCTGGCTCCTGCCTTAACTCTTTAGCACCCAGCTGGGAATAAGGATCTTCCCTGGGGTTCCGAGCCTCAGTTTCCTCGCCGACCCCCAGCCCAGGACCTCGCCGGAGCCCGGGATGGGGAGCGGTGTCGGCAGAGCCCCCGGCGCCCCCTCCGCGCAGGGGCTGCGGCACAGACCTTAGGCCGGCTTTGGCGGCGGAGGGCGGGAGTGCGGTGAGCAAGGCTGGGACCTGAAGGGGTACCGGGAGCCCCTGTTGCTTCTCCTCCTGGGGGGTAGTTCTTAGCTAGGCTTGGGGAAGGCGGAGTTTGGGGGGCCGGGGGCGGGGCTCCTGCGCTGGGAGGAAGGGGGGGCGCGCTGGCTCCAGCTCCGCTCAGACAAAAGGCGGCGGCGGGAGCGGGCGGGAGGCGGAGCGGCGCCGCGAGGGCCTCAAGGTGACACCCGCCCCCGGCCCCGGCCCCCCCGGCCCGGCCCCCCAGCCCGCCTCCCCACCCCCAGTCTCTAGCCCCTGACCCCGGGTGCCCTTTCCAGGCCCCCTCCCCCCAACGGGGGGGTGGGGAGCAGCGAGGGCCCCGCCCCCTCCCGCCCCCTCCCCAGGGCCCGCGCAGGATGCCCCCGGCCCCCGGCAGCCCCCCGGGAGGCCCTGAGCTCGACGCGCCCCCTCTCCGCCATGTCCCCCCCTGGCTCGGCCGCGGGAGAGAGCGCCGGCGGCGGCGGCGTCGGCGGTGGCGGCCCCGGGGTCCCGGAGGAGCCCACGGCGGCGGCGGCTGACGAGGGCCCGGCCCGAGAGGAGGTGAGAGCCCGCGGCGCCCCTTCCCCGGGCGCGCAGCAGCCCGACCCCCGCGCGCCGCCGCGCGCGGCCCCCGCCGGTTCCGCCGCAGCGCGGCCGGCGCCCGCACTCGCAGCCCGCGCTGCAGCCGCAGTCCCGGCCGCTGCCCCCACCGGCCGCCCGAGCGGTCCGCGGCGGCGGGGAAGGGGCCGCGCCGGGGGCGGGGCTGGGGGGGGTCCTGGCAGGGGGAGGGGCTGGGGGCGGAGCCTCACGACCCTGGGTGGGTGGGGGTGGGGACGGAGCCGGGAGCCTCTCTCCTGGAGGGGGATGCTGTCCTGAAGGCCGGGAAGGGCAACTTGTAGGGGATACAGAGGCAGGCGAGGAACAGGAAGCCAGTGTGGTCTGAGCCGGGTTCTCAGGTCACACATGTGCAGAGCTCTCCTCCCGGGGGTCACCTGGAGCATACGTGGAGTGTGTGTGTGTGCACCTCTGTCTCCCAGTGTTCGTGCAGCCCTTTTACACCCCCCTGCGCCCCCCCGATGAGTCCAGGAACCCTTCAGAGGATCGGCAGTAAGCATACCCCTACTCTCCAGTCCTCTCCACCTGGAGACAAAGAAACTGAGGAAAGTACCAGGCACAGCCCCCACCCCCACCTCCCAGTCCCACTGTGTACGCACATGCACTCTGCACTAGGGCAGGAACACATAGGTAGGGGCGGTCCTGGAGCCGGACCCCCTTATAGATGTGCTCTCAGGACCTGGGACAAGTGTGCACACCCCTAAGGAAAAGCTCCCGAAAGGCACATGTACCCTCATCTTGTTTATGTGATTTGCTAGCTCACCTACCTATCTGTACTTCCAGATTCTTCCTCTGATTTCCCCAGGCCTGCTGCCTGTTACTGTGCCCTTCTTTTCTATCCATTTTCTCTTCCCCTGGCCAGCCTCCAGGTCAGGTCTGGGGAATTGAGGGAATAAGGCAGGATCTCAGCAGGAGGTGTGTGGGGTTCTTAAAACTACACAGCAGGGAGGTGAATTGGGAAAGCACAGGCCACCACCAGAAACCCAACTTGATACTCATGTATTAAGTGGCTGCTGGGTGCCAGCACTATGCGGGGGGAGGGGGGGGGTTGCAAAAGAGGCCCTGCCCTCAGGAGTATCCAGTCTAGTGGGGGAACCAGACATGTAAACAACTCACTGGACAACTATGGGACAGAACGTGCCAAGTGCTTTAATAGGCCCCTGGAGAGCACCAAAAATCATTTTCTCTTGACAAATGGCTGGGTTGTAAATGTCTTCCTACCTACCCTTGTCCCAAACCGGCTCTCTCAACCCATTACCCAGTCACATGCACGTGCCCTTCCTGCTCCCTCCTCCTGGAATGCCTTCTGCTCAGGTCATCAGCTCCTCCCTTCCATCTCAGAACAGGGAAGATTGTCAGGGCGCAGGAGGGAGAAGCATAGTGACTCTGGAGTCCAGATTGTGGGGAATGAGATAGGATCTGGGTTTTCCTGGGGTCCTGCTCCAAAGGAGGTAAGAGTCTGTGAGACAGGGGGGTCGATGAGTCAAAGGGGAGGCTTGAGAACACAGGTCTGAAAGTATCTGGAAATGAGGTCCTGTAGTGGGAAAGTGATGTCAGTGGGTCCCATTCCCCTTTCCTGAAACACCTACAAAGGGTCTGGGGACCTGCCTTCGCTGATGCCTTTCTGTCTGTCCCCCGTCTTTTCCCATCCATACCTCCTCCTGTTTCATGACCATCTTTGTGTCTGTGGACTCTTCCTCTGGGTGCATCCTGTCCATTTGTGTCTTCCTTGCCACCTGGGTCGCCCGGCCTCTATCTGTGGCTCTGACCCCTCTCTGTCTCTTGGGGGCATCTCTCTACCTCTCTGCACTTTTCCTATATCTGCATTCCATTCCCTTTTCCTGTTCCCATGGCTCACTCTGGGCCACTTCTCTTGTCCTTGGCTCCCATCCGGTGTGACTATTTCTTGCCACATCCCTGTCTGTCTCTGCCTGTTGTCCCTGATGCTGACCTTTGTCCCTCCATCTCTGTGCTGGGTCCTACCACTGCATCTCACTCCCCATTCATCTTGGCCCTCTCCCCATCCATCTGAGCAGCAGCGTCCCATCCAGCCCTCTTTCACCAAGTCCCTCTGCCGAGAGTCCCACTGGAAGTGCCTGCTGCTCTCGCTGCTCATGTACGGCTGCCTGGGGGCCGTGGCCTGGTGCCACGTCACCACAGTGACCCGCCTCACCTTCAGCAGCGCCTACCAGGGCAACAGCCTCATGTACCACGACAGCCCCTGCTCCAACGGCTATGTCTACATCCCCCTGGCCTTCTTGCTCATGCTGTACGCCGTCTACCTGGTGGAATGTTGGCATTGCCAAGCCCGCCATGAGCTGCAACACCGTGTTGATGTGAGCAGCGTGCGGGAGCGTGTGGGCCGGATGCAGCAGGCCACACCCTGCATCTGGTGGAAGGCTATCAGCTATCACTATGTCCGACGCACCCGCCAGGTCACTCGATACCGGAATGGAGATGCCTACACTACCACCCAGGTGAGGGGCCGGAGGAGAGCACCAACCAGTCCAGAGGGGAGTGGGTGCTAGGACCCTACCTGTCTCCTTGGGGCGGGGAGCACAGGCAGCAGTGAGGTCCTGTGGGCACTGCAATAGGAGGGCAGTAAAAACAATTATAATAACAACAGCAAACACTAGCAGCGAGGCTCTGCTCTCAGTGCTTCACAAATAGTAAATCATTTATTTAACCCTCAGAACAACCTGATGAGGTAGATAACATTATCCCCATGTTACACATGAGGAAACTGAGGCTTGGAGAGGTTAGTAATTTGTTCCAAGTCAAATAGCTAGTAGGTGGTAGAGCTGGGATTTGAACCGATGCAGTCAGGCTCCAGGATCTATACGGTTTGGTGCTTAGTGACTGGAGATGGCATCATGTGCTGTCTCAAAGCATGCTCTCACCTATTCACTGAGGTGGCTGCTTCCAAGTTCTTCACAGGTAAGGAAACCTCAGTTCAGTGACTCGCCCAAGGCCTGAAGCTTCTAAGCGGTAGTGCTAGACTCAAACCCAGGTCCCTGGGTCCCAAGTCCAAGGCTCCCAGAGGTGAGGGTGAGTGGGTGAAAAGGTGAAGGTAGGTGTGAGAGGTCCCATGGAGAATGGTGGTGGGGTGTCCATCAGCCCTTCCTGGACCTGCCAGTAGTAGACATTTTAGGACCCCGGGAGAGGGCTTGGAAGACTTCCGCAGGTGAGGGTGATCTCCGTCTTAGTACTGGGGTGGGGAAACAAAACCTGTGAGAATCAGGAAGGAGGCTGGTGATGTCTAGGGAGGGACAGAGAGACCAGAGAAAAAGGTAGTTCGCCTTTGGAAACACTTTTAAAAGGGAAGAAGGGCTGTCTGTCTGGGGGTGGTGAGGGGTCAGTGTGGGCAGTGGCAAAGGGTCTGGCAAGTTCATGGCCAAGGTTTTACCCCCAGACGGAGCAGACCTTCATTAACATCAGAAAGCCCACAGGTGGGGATGAGTTCTAGTCCCGCCCTCAAGCCCAACTCCGGGGCCTCGGTGTGGACACATCAGGCGGTGAGCGCCTGCCGGGCTTCAGCGGGATCTGGAAGCAGGCTAGGCTTGGGGCTTGCGCAGGCAACAAGAGCAGCGAAGGGGCCGAGGAGGGTGACCCGCCAGGTGCGACCCCCGCGTCTTCTCGGCGCCGCAGGTCTACCATGAGCGCGTCAACACGCACGTGGCCGAGGCGGAGTTCGACTACGCGCGCTGCGGGGTCCGGGACGTATCCAAGGCGCTGGTGGGGCTGGAGGGCGCGCCGGCCACGCGGCTGCGCTTCACCAAGTGCTTCAGCTTCGCCAGCGTGGAGGCCGAGAACGCCTACCTGTGCCAGCGCGCTCGCTTCTTCGCGGAGAACGAGGGCTTGGACGACTACATGGAGGCGCGCGAGGGCATGCACCTCAAGAACGTGGACTTCCGCGAGTTCATGGTGGCCTTCCCGGACCCGGCCCGGCCGCCGTGGTACGCCTGCTCGTCGGCCTTCTGGGCCGCGGCGCTGCTCACGCTGTCGTGGCCCCTGCGCGTGCTGGCCGAGTACCGCACGGCCTACGCGCACTACCACGTGGAGAAGCTCTTCGGGCTGGAGGGCCCGGGCTCGGCGAGCAGCGCGGGCGGCGGCCTGAGCCCCAGCGACGAGCTGCTGCCCCCGCTCACGCACCGCCTGCCACGGGTCAACACGGTGGACAGCACGGAGCTCGAGTGGCACATCCGCTCCAACCAGCAGCTGGTGCCCAGCTACTCGGAGGCGGTGCTCATGGACCTGGCGGGGCTGGGGGCGCGCTGCGCGGGGGGCGCGGCGGGGGGCTACGCGCCCACGTGCCGCTACGGCGGGGTGGGCGGCCCGGGCGCGGCGGGCGCGGCCCCCTACCGGCGCAGCTGCGAGCACTGCCAGCGCGCGGTCAGCAGCTCGTCCATCTTCTCGCGCAGCGCCCTGAGCATCTGCGCCAGCCCGCGGGCCGGCCCGGGGCCCGGCGGGGGCCGGGGTGCGGGGGCAGCCGCTTCTCGCTCGGCCGCCTCTACGGCTCCCGACGCAGCTGTCTCTGGCGCAGCCGGAGCGGGAGCATCAACGAGGCGAGCTGCCCCACGGAGCAGACGCGGCTGTCCAGCCAGGCCAGCATGGGGGACGACGAGGACGACGACGACGAGGAGGAGGCCGGGCCGCCGCCACCCTACCACGACGCCCTCTATTTCCCGGTCCTCATCGTGCACCGGCAGGAGGGGTGTCTGGGCCACAGCCACCGGCCACTGCACCGCCATGGCTCCTGCGTGGAAACCTCACTGTGACCTCCGGCCACTGGACAGGTCAGGCCCGCCGTCCTCCTGCCTGCCCCGCGCCCGACTGTGCGCCCTGCGTGTAGCAGGGGGAGTCACGACGGTGACTGAAGCGGGCACCATGGGGTGTGGTGGAGGGAGGCTGTGCGAGGGTTGGACCCCTTGGGGCCGAAACCCCCGCCTTCCCTGTACATAAAGGGACAGATGGATGGGAAGGGGTCGGAGCTCCCGGAGAATCCCACCTGAGCAGATTCGTCTCTTTCGGTCCCATCCCTGGTTCCCGAGTCCTAAGGGGATGCCTCCCCTTCCTATGCGCACATTCGAGATTTCCCGTCCAGCCTTTCAATGGATCTTCTGACTGTTATGTGGCAACTGTGCTGTGGGCCTTCTCTCCAGTTAGAGGCCCTCGCTGTGCAGCTGGGGGAGGTTTAGAGGCCGTGGGGGAAGCGAAACTGGGGCTTTCCTTCCTCCCATGCCTTGCCCTACTGGGGCCTCTCTCTGCGGAGGGGGTGGTGGTTTGGCGAGCTCTGGGGCTGGCTTCCAGCCAGCTAATGAATTCAGTGGGTCCGAGGCAGGGGCCAGGAGTCAGCCCCAATAGCCATCTCAAAACGTGGAAATGTTGCTATCCTCTTTTTGGCGCTGGCCCCAAAGATCGGGGTTTCCTTTCTGCCCCTCCCACCACTGTTGTTTGTCTCTCTGCGCCCCAGGGAGCCCTGGTCCTGCGGGGGAGTGTGCTCACCACATAGATGTCCCTCCCTCTGCGCCCCACTCAATCCCTGGCTCTGAATAACTGGCCGGGGCACGGAGAGGAGGCACATGTGGTGGGCTGGGTGTCAGTCCTTTCCATAAACTCTGCAGCCCCCTCACCTGGAGGAGGTGGGGTCAGCAGGATGGTGACAGGATGCCCTTCTGGGAGAGCACTCCCTCACACCAAGGTGAATGAGTAGCAGGGGAGAGCAGGGAGACAGACCTGGAAGGCAACAGGAACTATGGAAGCAGGTGGAGTCAAAGAGGAGAGTGGAGGGTAGAATAAAAGGGCCTTCAGAGGTGGGGTGCCCCTTGGTTCCCCAAGACTGGTGGGGACGAGTGGAGGGTGGTCATCCCCATACGTGCCTCCGCAGGGCTGAGGATGTTGTCACAGCCCCCAGCTGGAGAAATACTCTACTTCAGTGACAGTGGCAGAGGCAGAGGCAGGAATTCTCTAAATCTTGCCCAACTCCTATCCTGTCACCATCCTGGGGTGCTGACCCCACCTCCTGTTTCCCCAAAGCTTCCCCACCTCCCACTGCTCCCACCCCAGTGTGCTTCAGTGTGCATGTCTGTGTACAACCTCCTGCACTCCAGACTCCTCTGGCTAAAGTTTTCCCAGCAGATTTAGCGCCCAGGGATTAAGCTTAACATTTCAAGCTGGAGAGGATAACTTTTGGGCCATCAACATTACTCATGCCTGATGCTTCTCACTTCACTGAGCCATCAGAGCCGCTCCTCCCTCCTCTTCAGCCCAGCCAGGCCTGTACCCACCACGGGTGTGGCCACCACCCTATGCAATCTCTTCTGGCTCCTCTTCCTTCCTTCCTAGGGGGGGAAGTGGGAGGCACAGATTGTGGGGACACCACAGCCTGGCCCTCGGCCCTTCAGCTACTGAGCTTTACTTTCAAGTGGAGATGGCTGAGTGGGGAGGGAGAGGAGGCTGGAGGAGTCTTGGCAGGAGGGAAGAGCTGCCCATTCAGTTTCCCTGGGTAGCAGTGCCCGCCTGCTGCCAGCACGGAACCTACCTGGACCCTGAGTCTGTGCTCCTTGGGGACCTGGCGGTTAGAGCACCCCTCCTTCCTCTGAATGGACATCTGTGAGGTACAGGTGGTGAGCTGTGGCCTCAGGCTCCAGTTCTTGGCCAGCTGGCACCTGGATGTTATGCCCTCATGTGGGGCAGCCTGGAGGAGGGAGGGATCTGCTCCTCTTCCCTCAGGCCTGTTCCCGAGACAAAATCCAAGGTGGGAAGAGAGGAAGGGGTTTGGGGCTCCTATTATTTTTGCCTGTTTTGACCATCTCTGCCTAGGTCTTCTCACACAGCCTCACCTCCCACACGCACAGACTTAGAGAGAAACCACTTTTTTTGGTCTATTTTCTTGGTAGCTTTATTGATTGCCAGGGAAAACGAAAACCAGAAAATTAATTAATCTCTAAAATTAAACTTTACACTGAATGTTCTTGTTTCTCTAATTAGAACCTCTGCTAGCAGCTGTGGCTATGTACACACACACTCACACTCACACCTACACATTTGCACTCCAGAACTGTCAGAGGGTGTCAGGCACGGACAGACTGTGGGTGGCCTGGACAGGCAGGCGCGTGCAGTCACTCCCAAGCTCCCTTCGGTGCTCTGCTCAGCTCTTGCTGGTTAGGAGGAGTCCCTGGAGAGCAGGCATCCCAACGCCATGGTTGCAGCCCATTACCCACCTTTTGGAAAAAAGGATGGGGAGGTTCTGGGTGCCTCAGCCTGAGGGGGATGGGGAATGGGGCTCAGCCTGTGTCCATCAGTCAGGTCCTCTCTTGGCCCCTGAGGGTCGACGTCATTCCCATAGGTGTGGCCCCCGGGTGGGCAGCCACAGAGTGATGGGGGCTCATGGAGGGCGCCTATAAGAGTCTGTGTGTCCTGGGGACAAGGGCTTGTGGGGTGAGCTGGGCCTGCCTGGGGAGAAGACAGGTCTCTGTCAATTGGGTGCATCACACTGTGGCCTTTCTGTTGTGAACTTCCAAGCGCAAAGATTGTACAAATCAAACTGGTGGATAATAAAGTTGCAATGACTCACTGACTTCCTTTCCCAGTGTGGCACTTCCCCACCATCTCCACCTCCCATGGGCAGCTCTCTGGGGAGGCCACTGAGTCTGAGCCCCTCCTGTCACCTGTTTCTTTTTTTCCCAGGATGGAGGATGGGGATCTAGTTAAGGGATGGCATGGCCTGTAGAACTGGATCACTTAATGCAGGTCAAACAACAGGGAAGTGACATCTGCAGGGGGGAGGGTGGAAGAACTAGCAGAGCTATGCTGGAGCCAGAGGAAAGAGAGAGGGAGGGAGGAGGAGAGGAGATTAAAGAGAGGAAGAATTTGAAGGGTCAAGAGGTCCAGAGGCTGTTAAGTAGAGGGGAGGATAGGTGCCCCTGGGGGGACTCTGAGCAGGTACAATCTCTGAGACCTTTCTGCCTTCCCTGCTTCTGGAAAAAGTTGGTCATTTAAGACTTCCGTAGCTGGGTACCACTTCATACTTCTTCCCCTATCCCAGACCCTCCCCCTCCATCTGTTTCTACACAATCCTTGATTACTCACCCCAATGTTATTCGGGTGCTTTCCCCACCTGTTTCCCCTCCCCACATGGCCCCTAAATAGTGACATTCTGAGGCAGACGTGGCAGAGGCATTACCAGGTCTGCTTGCCGCCCCACCCTGTCCTCATCCTATCCCACAGGGTTCTCAGGATTCTTGGTCATGATGGGTGACATGAAGTGGCTGGGATTCAAGGCCCGCTGACGTGCTGCTTCACGGTTGACATTGAGGGCCTGGCTGATGAGGTACTCGCTCTCCTGGGATACATCTGATAGGCGCAAGTCAAACTCCAGGAGGGTCCTGTTGTCTGACATGCCATCCAGGAGCTGCTTTCCGCCATCCTGGGAGAGGGGCACAGGGGAAGAAATCTTTTTACCTTTTTACCACTACCCAGGTTACACGCAAAATGCATACCTGGGTATAGATAGGACAGAAAGACGTGGTTCACAGACCAACCTCCTTGTGCAATGCACTGACATCTTCTTTGGGATTCTAGCCCATTCTATGCCATAAGAAAAGTGGTGCTCAAGACTCAGTTGATTTTTCAACCCCAATGGTTTGCAAACATGACTAAGGCAATGACAGTAATTCCCCTCTGGCTCAGCCACGGGCATGGGAGACAAATCTGGCTGAGATGTGAGGAGGAAGCTCAGAGGGAGTGACTTTTGGGAAGATCCTCCTGACTCTGAAAAGAGAGTCAGAGTGTGTGTGTGTGGGGGAGTGTTCTCTCTTCCCCTGCTGCCAAGCATGGCCCTATGTGGGCACAGTGGGCATCTTGGGACCATGGGAGCACTGAGAGGCAGCACAAGGCTGGGGTGGGCAGAGCAGGGGATTACCGGATTACCATCCCAGGATCCCCTACACCCTGGGGCTTCTAGTTATGGCCATAGTGAATCTTCTACTTGCTGGCTCCTGTAGCCAGCAAGCATCTCTCCTCCCACCCCCCCCCACTTCATTTCCCCAAGATATTTGAGCGAAGTCATTTCTCTTGGGAGATTTAGAAGAGGATGCAGGGCCTACACAGAGGGCGTTCCTCCCTAGTCTTCACAGCTCTGGGGCCCCTTCTGGGTTGGGGTGGACCAGGCCCAAGGTGAAAAAACTTCATTTTGGGAAGCAGGATGCTGCTGATCTATGGTTGTGGCTCAACAGAATAAGCAAAGTCAAATTGATGGGCTACAGAGCATTTAAAAAAACAAAACAGGGGCCTCCCTGGTGGTGCAGGGGTTAAAGTCTCAGCGCTATCAAGCTGACACTAGCCACTGTAGCATGAGTTCGATCCCCTGCCAGGGAGCTAACCCACATGGCATAGCAGACCTCTCCTGTCTTGCCCGCTGTTCCCCTCAGCAGTATGTTTCAGTAGATCTGTCTGTTCTGCTCCCTACTCTGTCTCTGGTGAACCCTCTCACACACACCCCACCTCTGGCCTGTACCCCAGTTCTTGTATGCATAAATAAATAAAAATAAATCTTAAAACAAACAAACAAACAAAAAAACCGAAACAGTAGCATATAAAGGAAAACATCAGCATATAGCATAAAGCAGTAAGGCAACTCTCAATTACATTATATTGATATATATGTGATCACTTGGTATTTATGTGAACTGTATTTCTTACTCTGTAACTTGATCAAGAAAGTTTGAAATACATTGTCTATTGGAAAGGACCCAAACTTGGGAGTAGTTCTGGGTTTGACTCACAGCTCTGCCACGTTCTATGACTGGATGCTAATAGGAACTCACTGACTTCTCTGAGACTCAATTTTCCATCTGTAAAGTGGTCTTATAATATGCATCTCTCTACATAACTCAGGATTAAAGGAACACCAGTGAATGTGTGCCTAGCATTGAACAGAACCCTTTGTAATGGTAACATCTAGCAATTTCTGAGGATCCACCCAGTGACTGCAATGATTCATTGCTTTTCAATCCTGCCAATAACAATACTTATTAGACACTATTATTACTCCCATTTTACAGATGAGAAAATAGAGGGCCCCCCAAAATTAAGTAACCTAATAAGCACTAAACTGCCAGAGCTGAGGTTGGACCCTGGTAAAGTCTGTGCTCTTACTACAACTACCCCCTGGCAGTTGGATTCCACATTCCATCCCCAAGACCCCAGGGCCTCTCCTTGGCCCCACCTGTCCCAGAAATGGTGACTCACCAGCCCGATGTGATTGCAAGATAGGTTGATGCTGGTGAGCGTGGTGTTGATGGAAAGCACCTGGGAGAAGATCGTGGCGGTGGGCTCAGATAGCTCATTGCCCCCGAGATGCAGTGTGGTGAGGCACTTGTTGGTCTGCAAGGCATGGGCGAGTGCCTGGCCACCCTCATCCTCGATGCAGTTGAGGCGCAAGTTGAGGGAAACGAGGTTGGCGTTGTGTGCCAGGGCATGAGCCAGTGACTGGGCGCCAGATGCACGCACCTGGTTGTTGGCCAGGTTGAGCACACGCAAGTGGCTGTGGCTCAGCAGCTTGGCGGCAGCGCGTGCACCACGGTCCCCAATGAGGTTGTGTGACAGGTCCAGCTCCTCAATGGTTGGGTGGTCCAAGAGACTTCGAATAAGGATGCGTGACTTGTCGTCGTCCACCTTGCTTCGGGTTAGCTTGAAGATCTGTGGGCAGGTAGAGGGTGTACAGCAACTGGCAGCCAGGGCTGTCTGCCCTGGAGTAACAGGAAGGCTTGAAGTTCTGCTCACCTGGTATTGGCCACCTGGTTGGCTCTTGGGCAGCTCAGGCCTACCCAGCATGGCAGAGTGGTTCAGAATTGTGGCAGGTAGATGGGGAGAGGGCTACCATATATGGAGAAATGATTATGTGCTGGGCATGCTGCTAGGGTACTTTCACAATCGTCATCTCTAGGCCTCAGTATCCCAATGAGGTAGTCCACATTCTGTCCACTTTACAAGTGGACTCGGAGGCTTAGGATGCATAAATTGTTTGCCCAGAATCCCACAGTGGTAAAGCTGCAGAAGCAGGTTCTGAATCTGGGTCTCTTATCCTAGCCTGATCTCCTCTGCTGGCTAAGATTGAGCAGGACTAGGAGAGGAACTGTGTGAAGGAGATTGCCAGGGTAAGAGCCAGGGAGGAACAGGAAGTAGATGGGTTGCAGGAGATAGGACTGTACTGGGGCCAGACCCCTCATCCCTTCCCTCTCATTGACTTTTTTCCCCTCTTTTTTGAGCGCTCCGAGTGGCTGCTATCTCCACGCTCTCCCCATGCTTCAGTTCTCTTTTTTCTTTCCATTCCTCTAATCAACTTAGTGTTTGGTCCCTCTGGTCATTTCATTGCTTCTCTCTGGCACAGCTCCAATCCTGGATCAAACCCACCCTCTTATTTTCTGTGTCTGTGCCCCAACAACTGATATGATGGAAACCATCACGTGGCAGAATTGGCTGGTGGTTCCAGGGTGTGCCAGCTCAACTCTCTTTTTCTGGCTAACACACCTGCTCGTAAACTGCAACTCTCCAGCCTCCAAAAATGTCAGGGGGCCACCCTACTCTCTCTTTTCAGCAGGTAAGTCTCCTCCTGCCTCTCCAGACATGGAATGGGGACCCCTCACTTTTATAATAACACAAGTCCACTGCTGCCCACCACATTCACTCTCCCCTCTGCTCCAAGCCAACTGCACTTCAGTCCTGGGTCCCACCCCTTCTGCCTTCTCAAGAATAGTCTTTGGTCACTGCACCTGTGTTTCTCTCATGTACTCAGCCTCTTTTTTTGTAATTGACTTAAAACACATGCAATTTTTTTTTTAAAGAAAAACCAAGCTCATCAATTTTCACCCTATCTTTCCCATTCTTCGTAGTTAAGTTCTTCAGAAAGTTGATCATAGTCACCCCATTGCCTTACTACCCACTATTTCCATAAACCCTCCAATCTGGCCCCTGCTTCTGGCATTGCACTGACCTAGCTCCTCCTCAGTAACTTCCATGGGTGCCAGATCTGGTCCTCAGCTCCATTCCACCATTACTGCTCATTCCCTCTTCTTGAAATGCACCTCTCCCGTGGCTCTGAGATAGAACGCTGTGTCCCCCTTTTCTTCCTCCCTCTGAGTTCCTGCAGGGTCTCCTTCTTCCACTAAAAATATTTGGGACATGTTTATACTCAAAAATTACTTGTCATGTATCTGAAATTTAAATTTAACTGGACGTCCTGTATTTTTATTTGCTAGATGTGGCAACCCTATCCTAGTTGAGAGTTCATGTTTATGATTGCTGATTAGTGCCTTTTATCCCCCTAGATAGCACAAATGGTATAATTTTGCTCATTGTTGAGTCTTCGGCACTCGAACGGGGCCTGGAGTGCAGATGTTTGTTGGTTGAATAAAAAGCTGGTGAACTGGGAAGACCTTGTTCATCTCTGCTTCTCCAGAACCCAGATTGGTGCAGTGTGCATGAAAAGACTTTTTTGGTCAATGAATGAGAAGGAAATGGGAAGAAGAAGACGGTAGCGAAGGAGTAAGGTGAGGGGAGAGGTTCATCAGGGAGCTGCTGGGATGGGGGGTGGGGAAGTGGGCAGACAGGCAGGTGGTACCTTGAGTGTGTGACATGCCTTGATGGTGGCTGCCAGGGAGAGGCAATCACGGTATGTGAAGAGAAAGAGGTTCCACTCAAAGTTCATGCCGCAGTCCTTGACTGCATACACCAGGTCCAGCTCCTCCAGATGACTCAGGCCAGCCACCAGATTGCCCAGTTGGTAGTGGTCGGTGACGAGCTCTTCCATGTCTCCCTCGCTGCCAGAGTCAGACAGGTCCCCGCTCCGGGGCCCAGTCGGTAGCAGCACCGGAGGAAGGAACTGGTGCACACAGAGCTTGCGCACATAATTCTTGCAGAGTGGCACCTGGTCCAGGATCACCGCGGGGTCTGTGGTGTTTGGGATGAAGTGCTCCAACAGGTTCTGCAGATGCCGCTCGAAGAACATGCGCTTCCAGCTGTTTCCGTGCCTGGCCACGTGACACACCTCCCAGCGCTTGGTGCAGCAGCGGCGCCAGTAATTCTCATCTTCGATCAGATTGGCAGTCACGGCCAGTGGTAGGTCATGTGACAAGAGGTTCAGGACCTTCTGCTGGTGCTTCGGTAGCAGCTGCTTCAGGATAGGGTTGTCTGTGGAAACAGAGGGAAGCAAGCAAGAGTCACAGTGTTGGGGACACCGGAACACTATCCTCTGGTCCGGGCCTGCATGGGGGCACTAAGGAAAGGGAAAACCCTCTTCTGCCCTCAGGGAACTCCAGGTTGAGAAGGGAGACATCCTTTCTCTCAGAGAGGGCCAATCTGAGTGGGGAGACAGCCCCCGGCCCTGGGGTGTTCCCTGCCTGAAGGTGAGCAGTCAGCCTCTGGTCTCAGGTTGCTCCCAGTCTGAGGAAGACTCTCAGATCCGGCCTCCAGTGATCACTTAGTCTGATAGAAGAGATAATCCCTGACTTGAGAGGTTTCAGAATCAATTTGATTTGATTCATTCATTTCAAAATGAACAAAAAAGATTTGGAGCACCTACTGTGCCCAGATAGTTTTCTAAGTGCTAGGTATACATGAGTGAACAGAACAGAGGAAGCTGCACCCTCTTGTGAGGGGAAACAGACAACACACAAGTCACACAAATCCATTGCAGCTTGAGTGGTAATTTAGGTACTGTGGACAAAATAATGGCCCTGTCCTTGGGGAGCTGTGCATCTGGTAGGAGAGACTGGCAACCGGTCTTTAAAGAATGAATGTTTACAGAACAAATGAGTACAAAACAAGTCAAGAATCTGCCACAGCATGGAAGACTCTACGAGAATGGAGGGCCGTCAACCAGGAAGGGCTTTCTGGAGGAGGAGGTAGAAAAGTTTGGGTTGGGTTTTGCTGAAGAGACTGGGAAAGGTGAGGAGAGAGCACAGGCATGGTGGGACCTCAGAGTGGATCCAGCAGGAGAAACTGTCTTGGCCCCAGGAGAGTGAAGGGGAGTGTTCAGTGAGGATGAGAACACTGTCAGAGGACAGGGGTAGCCCCGGGCAGTCCCCACCTGCCCTGCCCCACTTCCCACATTCTCCCTCCTCCCAAGGGACAGACTCACTCTGGAAGTTCTTGACAATGTGTTGAATGCAGAGCTCTGAGAGGAGGGGCACTATGGCCAGCGACCACTCCTCATCTTCAGCGATGATCCTGCGCATCCAGCGTTTTTTGGCTGCAGAATTTGGAGCTTTGGACTTTGTTTGGGATTGGATGCCTGAGACCCTTGAGGACCATGCACCTAAGCTAGAAGCTTGGCCTGCCGGGATGGACGACTTTTCCACCATGGAGACTGAGGAATGGTTGGGGACAGATATTGACGAGATTTGAGGTTCTTGCATGCTGGGAGCTGGTAACCGAGGACCAGTGGTCCCTTGGTGATGGCCTTGTAATGGGAACTTCCTCACACTGGCAGTTCCTTAGTGCTGGAGCAAGTCTGGAGCAAGATGGAGCAAGTCTGGAGCAAGTCTGGAGTGGAAGTCTGGAGCAAGATGCGGGGGTGGGGGGGATGGGGTTGGAGAGGTTGTGTTAGAGGGTCTTGGTGGGCAGCTACCAAGATGGATGGCAGAGTGGTCTTTAACAATATGTGATCAGCAGAAGTGGGGTAACACATGCCAAGAAGATGTTTGGGGAGGAGTGAATAAAATAATGCCTCCAAAGAGGCGTAATATATTGTGACACATGTAACTATAATAAGGAGCAGCCCCAAATTTGAGATAATACAGTAGTCCGTGCTTGTCTGAGGTTTCAATTTCCATGGTTTCAGTTATGTGCTGTCAACTGCGGTCCAAAAATACTGCATACAATAAGAGGTTTTGAGAACGAGAGACCACATTCATGTAACTGGCACCATATATTGTTATAATTGCTCTGCTTTATTATTGTTAGTCTCTTGCTGTGCCTAATTTATAAATTAAACTTCATCATAGGGATGTGGGGATAGGAAAAAATATAGGGTTCAGTATTGTCTGTGGTTTCAGGCATGCTCTGGGGATCTTGGAAGGTATTCCCTGAGAAAAAGGGGGACCATTGTCATAGCCACATAGCAATTACCAGCAATTGCTCTATGTGGGGCATTTTTTCCTGTTGTTCTTTTTTTTTTTTTTAAAGATTTATTTTTATTTATTTATACAAGCACTGGGCACAGTCAGAATCACGGGAGGTGAGAGAATTCACCAGAGCCAGAGCGGGGAGCAGAGCAGGCAGAAGGACCGAAGTACACTGCTGAGGGGAGCAGCGGGCGGCAGGAGAGGTCTGCGCACCATGTGGGACCCTCCTCCGGTGGCCGGGGAGCAGCCGGGGATCGAACCGGCGCTGTAGAGGCCGCGGGCAGCTTCTCAACCCAGCGCTCAACCGCTGCGCCACTGGGGAAGCCCTCCTGTTGTTCTTTATGCAAGTTAACGCATTTAATCCTCATAAGAGTCTTTTGATACAGTTACTCATGTTATTCCCATTTTTCTGGTGCACAATCGAAGCACAGAGCGATATACTGACTTCCCAGCCTCACACAGCTTATAAATAACAAGGGTGGATTCAACCTCAGTCTGTACAAACCAAGTTTATACTTCTGATCCTCCATTGTACTGTCCCCAAAGGGCAAAGGAGGCAGGATATGGTATTGCCAAAAGACTGAGGTGTAATAAAGATTTAGTTCCGAACAGCTTCCCTCACTAAGTATTTACAGAACAGCCAACTGCCTGACATGGAGGATGGGGCGGACAACCGCAGTTAGCAACAAAAAAAAAATAATGCAAGCCAAAATAAAGCCACATGCACTATTTTAAAATCTCTAGCACCCACATTAAAAAAGTAAAGGGAAACATGGGGCCTCCCTGGTGGCGCAAGGGGTCGCAGCACAATGAAGCCATCTGTAACCACTGCAGCATGAGTTTGATCCCTGGCCGGGGAGCTACCCACATGGGGCGGCAGACCTCTCCTGTCTGACCCGCTGCTCCCCTCAGCAGTGTATTTCAGTCAATCCGCCTGTTCTGCTCCCCACTTTGTCTCTGGTGACTCCTCGCACCCTCTACATCTCTGGCCTACATCAGTAAAGTGAAGCAAAACAGATGAGATTAATTTTATATTTACCCAATATGACCAAAATCTTATAAAAATGTTTAATGAGATTATATATATATATATATATATATATATTTATAGCAAGCCATCAAAATCGGATGACCCAATAGCCACATGTGACTAGTGGACACTGTTTTGGGCAGTGCAGGCTGAGAGGGGAAGGAGAGGCAGACCCAGAACCCAGCCCTGTCCCAGGTGCCAACACTTCTTTTCCTCTCTGCACCCTGGGTCCCCTCCCTTACCAGTCTCCCCTAAACTCTTCCTAGTTGTCCCAGCCTCCCAGCATTCCAGACGGCAGCGGGAAGGCGTGGGAGGTGAAAAGGCAGCTAAATCTGGGGCTGAAGACAAGACAGAGGATGTGTCTGGGGACACCCCCCCATTTTTGTCATTCCCGAAACCCTTGCTGGAGGGCCCAAGCCCCGATACTGCAGGTGGGAGTGGGACTGCTCAGCACGCAGCAGCTTCTGCGGGCAGTTTCCTCTCAGATCTGCACCCCATCTCTGTGCACCGTGTCGTGGCCAGTGGGAAGGAACACTCTGAACCAGTAAAGGTGTCCTTGGCAGATGGAGGGGACCAGATGGTGCTCCCCAGCCCGGCAGGCATCTCAAGGAAGAAGAGCCTGACTGTGGGGTGTGGATGTGTGTGTGTGTGACACACACACACACAGAGAGAGAGAGAGAGAGAGAGAGAGAGAGAGAGATAGGAGGGGGCAATGTAGGGGAAATATCTATGTATTTGTGACATCCTCTTGCAAATCAAATGCAAATTCACAGATTGTGTCCAGAATTGTGGAATAACCAGCTGGTGTTTTTTGACGAACGGCCCCTCAAGAGTGTGGTTGGGAGGGCATGCTGCTACCGGCAGCAGATGACTTTGCACTTCTAGTTTTGCCAGTTACTTTCTGTGTGATCGTGGCCAAGTTACTCAATCTGAGCTTGTTTCCTTTTCTGTAAAATGGGATAATATCATCTGCCTACGCAGGCTGTCCTGGAGAGTCCTCTGAGACCACATTTGAATATATCGGTAGTGTCTGGCGAGAGTACTGGCAGGGGTGCGTGGAGATGGGGAGTTCAAGGCTGGGAAACAATACCCTGGAGACCTGCTTCTTGAGTGCTAAGCCAAGAAGGTATCTTTAAGTCCCTATCGCCAGGACAGGTGTGAAGGACAAGGTGGCAGGTGTCGGTGTTTGAGGCTGAATAGAAGGGTGGAGGCCTGGCTGTCTGGGCAATAGAATGAGGACAGAGACAGGCCAGCACAGCTCTAGCCAGCTCTGTCCCTGGGCTCCCTCCAAAGTTCTGGCCCAAAACATTCTGGCATTTCCCTTGGTGCTGGAGGTGTCTCAGGATACCCTGCGGGCCACACCCAGGGGACCAGTACCCAGTTTGGCAGGGGGAGCCCCAGGTTATTGGCGGTTGTTGCCCTGGAGCTGGCACTGCAGGCATTACTCACCACACGACTCAGCCTTGCTGTCCTGGCAGGCGGGCCCTTCTCCTTCCCAGCAGCCATGTGTTAGGGCCAGGCCGGGTGCCCACCGCAATGGGTTGGCCCTAGTCTCCCTGTGTAAGGCCTCATTGTCTTGGGATTCAGCATTTCTCCCTAAGGTCTGATCTTAATGGCTCTTCCTTTGTTCTGGAGCCTGTACCTCTAGGCCCAACCCAGGTGGACCCCCCCACCATGCATGGTTAGTATAAAAAAAAAGTCCCTCAGAGCCTCCATTTCACAAGGTCTGATGTCATTTTTTTTTTATAGAGGCATATTTTATTTATTTATTTGTTTGTTTGTTTGTTTGTTTTGTTTATACAAGCACTGGGTACAGTCAGAAGCGTGGGAGGGTGAGAGAATTCACCAGAGCCAGAGCGGGGAGCAGAGCAGGCAGACTGATGAAATACACTGCTGAGGGGAGCAGCGGGCGGCAGGAGAGGTCTTTGCGCTATGTGGGACCCTCCTCCAGTGGCCGGGGAGCAACCCAGCGCTCAACCGCTGCGCCACCGGGGAGGCCCTGATGTCATTTTTTTTTTTTTTTTAAAGATTTATTTATTTATTTATACAAGCACTGGGTACATTCAGAAGCGTGGGAGGGTGAGAGAATTCACCAGAGCCAGAGGGGGGACCAGAACAGGCAGAAGAAACGAAGTACACTGCTGAGGGGAGCAGCGGGCGGCAGGAGAGGTCTGTGCTCCATGTGGGACCCTCCTCCGGGGAGCAGCCGGGGATCGAACCGGCGCTGCAGAGGCTGCGGGCAGCTTCACAACCCAGCGCTCAACAGCTGCGCCACCGGGGAGGCCCCCTGATGTCATTTTTTAAGGCAAGTATTGAAACCATTTAAAATTCTGACCTCATAATCAGGTCAGAGTTGAAGATTTTACTTAATCACTTTTCGATGTTTTAAAAATAAATTTTTCAAAAATATTTTTGGCAAGCAAATTATTAACAGATGCAGAGGATTTTTCTAAGAAGGATTTTAACACCAAATGTTCTTTTAAGCCTATTTTTTTAAACTAATCAAATATCAAAAGTATATTTAAGAGGATGATAAACAAGACGGGCTCCTTGCCTTCTTGCAATTCATGTTCTAGAGAGGATGGCGAGTGCCGCCCTCCCAGATCACCCCGCAGGCCCCTGCCCTCCTCAGCCATTCTGTCAGCTCTGCTCTAGCCTCTCTGATCACTTTTTTTTCAAAAAGTCTCCACCCTGGCAGGCTCTTCTGACTCAGCACCCCTGCTTACATGTGGGGGGCCCTCAAGCTTCTGCGGCTGCCCTGCCTCACTCCATCCAGGCTTGCTGCTCTCACTTCCCCACCGCGCTGCACCCTCAGCTCCACTTATGTGCATCCTGGCACCCTTAAACTCAACCTCCCCACAAGAAAACTCAGTGTCTCCCCCTCCTTCTTCACTCCCCATCCTGGCAAGGGGCCCCGGCTCCATCCAGGTGCCTGAGCCAGGAGCCCAGGAGTCATCTCTCCCCTTGAGATGCCCCCATATCTAGTTACTGTTGGGCGCCCTCAGTTCTGCCTCCCTCGCTGCAGCCCCTCCTCTCACTTGCTTCTGCCTCCTTAGCTCAGCGCCTTGTTTTCTGCCTGGATCATATAGCGTCCTGACCCAGCACAGCTGTCCTCCAGGGAGGTCCTCCCGCACCCCACCCGCCACAGCTGCCCTGGCAGGCCCTTGTGCCGGCCCCTCCTTCTTGGTTCACCACCGCCCACTGGGTACAGCTAGCGTCCTCAGCTCGGTATAGAGGACCCTCCACAGATGGAAGCCCTGTTTGAAGTAGACGCCTCTTTATATCCCAAACACGCAGGCTAGCCCGGTGCCCTTTGCTCAACCTGTTCCCTCTGCTCAACCTGTTCCCTCTGCCTGGGGGCCTTTCCCACCGTTGCAGCCTGGGAAACAGGCAGTCAAGGGCTTTTGAGTCGGAGCTCAAGTTCTACTGCCACCCCCCAATAGTCCCTTTTGTCAGATCACCCCAGTACTTGTGTCATTTCAGGGATCTGAAAGACCATCCTCTCCCCACACCCACCCCAGATTAAGAACTTCTCCACGTACAGGCGTGCTCTCTTATTTTTAATGCTAAGCCCTAGCCCAGTGTCAGGTCTGCATCAGGTCAGGTAGCTGGTGTCTGGGGCTGCTCCCTTCCTGATGATAGATTCTGGCCAACAAGAGTGTCTTGTGATGGTTAGAGCGATTGGCTCGGTGTGGCCACCTGATGCAGGCCAATCAGAGTCCTTTATAGGATCTGTCCGGGTGGATGCAGCAGAGGACACGCACCCTTGAAGGATATAGATCCCCTGTGGGTGAGAGCTGTTCCCTTCACATGGGCAAGACCTGTCAGGAGGGAATGAAGCCTGGTGGAGACCAGCACATTGAGGTAGATGGAGAGCACCTAGTTCCAGAGGCCCCAGAACTGACTGCTTCCTCAGCAGTTCCTTCAGTTTTGAGACCTCACTGGTAACCTTCTGACAAGTCGCTTTTGCTGAAGCTGAGTTGGGTGTTTGCTCCTTTGTGACCACAGGGTCCTGACCATTTTAATAGGCTTACTGTGTGGTGAATGAAATTCACCACATTTCATCCGTAGATGAAATGGGTCAAAGCCCCCAGGTTATTCTACACAGGGCCTGATGTCTAACTCCTGTGCAGTTCCTCTTCTGACCCCCCGCCCCACCCGTGTCTCCAGACACAGGACGAAGTCAGCAGCTTATCTCTGCTCAGCACTCAACAGTTATAGGCTCCTCTGAGAACTCTTCTCTCATTTGAATCTTACAACCATTGGGCAAGGGAGGAGGGCAGGCTTCCCCTCTCCATCCTGTGGCTGAGGAAACAGGAACAGACATTTCCCAGACTAGGAAATGACTAGCACACCCAGGGGGGCTGGTTCAGGCCTGCATGCAGTCTTCTGCTTCTAACCACAATGCAGTGCTCCCCCATAGACACAAAGAAGGACTCACACTCCTGCTTCCTGGGAAGCAGGGGTCCTATCTACACAGAGAGAACCTGGGGGACTCCCCAGGCCAGGAGATCAAACAGGCCTTGGTACCCCACTATAGGAACTTCAGGCCCCTAACCTAAAGCTTTCATCTCTGTTACATTAAAATGCATTTCCCCCTAAAAGAAAGGAAATCTTAATATTACATACATATGTGTGTCTATACACTGTATGTTAACTTTGACCTGTTTAAAAAAATACAGCTCGTTATTTTTGGCCTAATCAAAGCACAGTAATTATGAATTATATACTGACAGTAATGTAGCAAACTTTAAAAAGATGTAGAAGTCATGTAATATCGTATTTTTCTAGCAGTTTAAATATATAGAAATTATATATACAGTATATATTTTTTCTTTTGAGAGAGAACAATTGTATGTCTAGGTATGATGGGCTTGCTTTTGTCCATACATACAGTCTATTATATATAACTGTATAAATATATATGTACACACGCACAGTCCCCAAGGGCCCACAGAGGGCAGTTCCAGAAATGGTAGTCACCTTCCTTTCTGGAGCCTTCTCCCCTTGGGGAGCCTATGCGGCAGTCAGAGAATCTAATCTTTAGACTAAAGTGTGTTCAAGCCATTGGTCCTCCCAGGCACGAATCCTTTCACATTCCAGAAAGAAAATCAGGGCCGCTGGAGCGAGTGCCTCTTTCGCCCTGGTGTACCGCCTAAGGACACACCCTGCCCTCAGATGAGGAAAGTGGGGGCCTGCCCAGCAACCCTTCATCCCATGGCACCTGTCTCTTAGCCTGCTGGGCTTCACATGCCATGTCTCTAGCACCAGGGGAACCTAACCCAGGACCACATTCTCTGGGAAAGGCCAACCTCCTCCCTTCAGATCCCCACTGGGTGCTGAGTGTCAGGTTCTAGGGTCCGGAAACCACGTCCCGACCATAACTGAAGGGGTTTGCGGGCCAGAGTTAATTCATCGGGGATAACTTCACTTGTCTGGTGGACAAGTGTGCTGGGAACCACATCCTTGCCTATTTGTAGCTGTGGTTTGTCACATGCCAGGCCCTCAATAGTGCGTGCATAGCAGGAGGCAGCATAGCAGCTGGCTAAGGACTCGAGCTCTGCTGTCCAAAGTCAAATCTCCACTTTGCCCCATAGCATCTGTGATACCTTGGGCAAGTCATTTCACCCCACCAAGCCCCCCCCCTTTTTTTTTAACCTGTAGAACAGGGATGGAAATTAATGGTACCTCCTTCATAGGCTTAAAGGATAAATCCTATCCAGAAGATTAAAAGGGCTAAAGTGTGTGACATTTCATACAGTGCAGGGCCTAGAACCAGCACTCATGATGTTGTTAGATATTATGAGGAAGATATTAGAAGCCTCACCTACCTAGGCTTATTAAACCTTCACACTAATTTTGATGGTTAGTATTGTTATTATAACACTGTTACCCTCATGTCACAGAGGAGGAACAGAGGCTTAGAGAGAAAAGGTTACTTGCTACAGGTCACATAGTGGGGAAGCAAGGTTGGGGTCTATGTCTGTCCCCAGCTTTCCCTCTTTCCAAGCACAAGAGCATGGACAAATAATGAGGTGGTGGGGTTGCTTCCAAGATTGCCCCAGACTTGGTTGTTCATGGGCTTTTTCAGTGGGTCCCCACCCTGCCGCCTTTCCCAGCTCATGAGTGTTCTTATCACCTGTATGGCGCTCAGGGTTATCCCTTCGACCCTGACTTAAACAGCCAGGCTCCCTCACCCCTGAATCACTGCCAGGCACAGGTTTCTCCCCCAGAACTGGAGGGTGGCCTGTATCCTTTGGTCTGAGGCCCCTCTGGAGCCAGGAGAATACTGTAGCCTGGTGCTTTCCTGCCCTGGACTCACGCTGGGCGTTCTACAGACTTAGGAGTCAAGCTTGAATCCTTAGTACGTTCCCTCAAGCCCCCAGTTAAATCTAACCACTATGGACAGAGGCTTCTCCTACCTGTCCAAATGGGAAAGTTGAACATGTTGTGGGAAACCCTCTTCCCATCCTGCTCATCACATCACTGGGCCTCAATGCTTCTCCCTTTCCTTCCTCTTACCTAAGATGCCCACGTACCTGGTGGCCCTTGTTAGCGAGCACCTCTGTACCTCTGGACACCTCTGGGCTAACGCCGATGGGTTACCCATTACAACCAGCTCTATAACCACTGCTCTCCAACCACCTCTCTGCCAATGTTTCCTTTGTCTTCTCAGCCAGCTGCTTCTTCACCCCAGGCATCCTTCCCTAAAGAGAACCTCCCACCCCCACCCCAGGCATCTGTCCTCAGGGCCCTGGCACTGTGTCTACATTTTTCCTGATTTCTTTTATGGCCAAGTCAGGCCCTGCCTGGGGGCAAGCCACTCCCAAATTCCCAGCTGGGAATTCCCAGTTTGTGGAATCACAAAAGGTCTTTAGCAAATGAATTAGCACATTAATCTTAACCCCTGGGTCTGCCTTCCCTCCCAACTCCTGCCCGCTTAGATCTGTAGTCTTAAAAGGGACTCAAAGCAGCATTAGCTCCTCATCCCTATCTTTGCCTGAGACACCCAGCAGGGAAGCTCAGCTCTAAAGGCCAGCCAGTCCCTCCCCCATTCCACCTGGGGTGAAGAGGCCCTGGCTTTTCCTTGGTAACCAAGGGGGAAAACCAGCCCTGCTGAGGAGGGAGGGTGGGAGGTGCAGGGATTTGGATCTGCAGGATGGATTGCAGCCTGCAGGAGCTGGGGCTGGGGGGGCGGCGGGGGTCAGCCTTCCTGAAGGACTGAGGCCCCACGTTTAGGACTGCTCTCCACCACAACCCACTGGATGGCTCTCACTCTCCCCTGGCTCCTCATTGTTTCCCCTCCCCTTACTAGGGACCCTGAGTTTCTGAACCAGTTTGCAGTGTCTTGTCTGTGGCAGGGGAGGAGGCACGGATCTGCTTCAAATGGGTGGGGGCCCAGGGGCCTCCAGTGTGTACAGACCCGTCCCTCTCTTCCATGAGAAATGTGGGAGTCAAGGCTGTGGATGTTTTCTGGCTTGAGGCAAGTGAGGGCTGAGTGCGCAAAGGGCTTCAGGGTCCATCAAGAGTAGGGGCAGGAAGATCTCAGCCCCATAGGGGAGACCCAGGGTTGAGAGACCCCTCTCCAGAAGGTTACCTCACCAGCTCCAGGGAGTCCTGCGCTCGCTCGTCTTCCCGCAGGACCCTGGGCCCGTCGGATCTCCCGTCGTTAGGGACGCCCCTTGTCGCCAGGGGGCGGGGCCGGGGGCCGAGCGCAGTTGCGCGTGTACGCCTGCGTGGGCACACGTCCCTGTCCCCGCGGTGTCGCCTGTGCTGTGCAGGCACACAGGGCTGTCCCTCACTGGATGCCATTTAAAGGCCTTGGCAAGGTGTTGAATGGCACACAAGGCAGCCATGGAAACTACCTCTGGAAGCTTACTTTTTTTTTTTTTTTTTAAAGATTTATTTATTTATTTATACAAGAACGGGGCACAGGCCAGAGGTGCGGGGGCGGGGGTGGGTGAGTGAGAGAATTCACCAGAGACAGAGTGGGGAACAGAACAGGCAGACTAATGAAATACACTGCTGAGGGGAGTAGCGGGCGAGACAGGAGAGGTCTGCCCCGCCATGTGGGTATCTCCCCGGCCGGCAGGATCGAAGCCCCGCTGCAGAGGCTGCTGACAGCTTTGCAGTGCTGCGCTCAACCCGCTGCACCACCCGGGAGGCCCTGAAAGTTTACTTCTGTGCCGGTTGTGGGAACACTCTGGCCCTGAGGCATAGTTTATTTTTCTGGGGGACGCATTTAGGAATAGGCGGGCTTCTGTGGTGGTAGGTGAGGAGTGGGGAGATGGGGGTAGGGCCCCTAGACTGGAGTGCTGTTCCTTTTTGGTTCCTTTTGTGTGGATGGAGGTGGAGAGTGGCCAGTGGAGAGATAGTCTAGGAAAAGCATCCGTGGACAGGCTCTTCTGGAAGATGAGGGTGGAAGGTACCTGCAGGAGTTACTGGAACGCCCCTTGGGCTCTGTGGGAGAGCTGGGTGCTGCTGCATTCCTGCAGAGTGGCCCCTTTCTCCAGGATATCAGCAAGGCTGGTGCCTGGCCCCAGGCAGGGAGAATCGAAGCCTCCACAGCACTCCTTCATAAAAACCCAAGCCTGATGCCAACCACCCTCCCCCCACCAGCCTTGGGTGACAGGATATGGTACCTCCTAGAGATAGGAATGACCAGCTTAAGGGGATTGGCTATTAAGAAAAATTATCTTTCAGGAGGGGTGAGGCAACCCCAGTAGTAGGGACTTTCACATAGAGGCAGAGCTTAGAACTTGGATCAGTTAACATCTTGGAAACTCGGTGAGCTAATCAATAAAATGAGGGCAGAGCTACCCTTAGTCCACATGCCTGCAGTGAGCACTGCTGAATGTGGTGCTGCTGCGGTGGCCAAGGTCTTGAGGTAAAGCCTTATCACTCCATAGGGCAGTCAGGTGCCAGGAACCAAGGATTTGGATCCCTCCAGCCCTCATCAGTGATTCACCAAATCACCATTGCCTCAATTAGGAGGAATTGTGCTGGAAACGATGCCAGGAGGGCCTGCTCTGCTCTAATAGTTTTAATTAGACACCCTCAGAACTTGGAAGCCCTTGACTTAAAGATGGGTCCCCTGAGGTCCTTTCCTTCTAACAGATTTGGGAGCAGAGGTGGGGCTAGTATCTGACTTGGTCCTGCGTGGCTTCACTCTGGTGGGGAAGGGGAAGGCTGCCCTTTATCTGGTGGCTTCCTTCTACTCTGAGTTGTTTATTTTCAGCTTTAGCTCAGGCTCAGGGCAGCCGTGTTTTACAGAGTAGGGTTGCTCTGGTACCTGCTTCCTGACCCCAAAGCCTGCCATACTCCCAGCTCACTGTGCCTCCTCACCCCATCTAAGGGCCTCAGCATTGGCTCTTTCCTCAATGTCCATGTGGCTCACACCCTCCCCTCCCAGGTCTGCTCCCAAGCCACCCTACCCTCTTGCTGCGCTGGTTCCATTCTTTCTCCACAGACTCCATCACTGACACGATCTTCTTTCTCTTTATTTTCTGTGTCCCCACCAGAAGTAAGCTCCAAAAGGGCAGGGATCTCTGCCTGCTTGTCCCTCTCCCTATTTTCATCAACTGACCAGTAGCTGCTGCTCAGTTTATCAATAAATTGGCAAGGCCTTCATTAAAAAAGATAAGTCATTGTTAACAAGGTGACACCACAGAGGGTCTGTCCTGCTGTAATGCCTTCCACGACAGTTCTGAATCTGGGTGGCCTGGTCTTGATGGGTGCCCAAGACAGGCTGGCAAAGAGCCTGCCTGGGCACTTGTGACAATGAGGATAGTTCTGATTTGGTTGTACAGTGGGAGGGGTCAGACTGGTTGGTACACCCATATCCAGGTTTGCATCCACATTCCAGGTTGCTTGGGTGGGAGGAGGTCTAATTTTTTTAAAGCAAAAGAACATTCTGGGGTCTCCTATCCTTAGGGGAATACTCTTTAATGAGTAATCACAGCCAGGAGAGCACTGTCTTCAGTCTCCAAGTGGGGGTGTATCTCTGAACCCACTTCTGCCTCCCCAGCCAGTATCTCCTTTAGTCCATGCAGGGCTGGCCCCTGTGGCCTTCTTCTGCTCAGGTGCTTTGGCCTCTAGCCTCCAATCCCTGACTTTAGACTCAGGGGAGTTCTGCTGGCTGCTTCAGGCTCCTCGAACTAGCCTATCCCCTGTTCTCTTCAGTCCAAGAGAGTCCTGAGGGGCTATGGGTCAGAGCTGGTTGAGGGCATAGGCTCGGGCTGTGCTGAGGGCAGCTTCCAAATCAGCAGTGCTTCCAGTGCCCTGGGCCACCACTCGAGAGCCCCAGGCCTTGCCGCCCATGTGGCTGCACACAGCCAGTGCCCAAGCCTCTGCTGTGAAGGCTGGTGTAGTACCCTGGTGAAGAAACAGAAGGGCAGTAATGCAGAACAACCCTCCCTGCCACCAACCACTCAATATCCCCTCAGAGTGGAGTCAGGGTGATCTGTAACCCCTCTCCACCTGTGCATGCGGTGGGGGAAACTGGGTGAGGAGACAGGAGAGGACTGGGCTGGGAACGTGTGGGGGCTGATCAATACGTACTACTTGTTTGCAAGGGATGTGGGGCCTGGAGTAGGAGTGGTGGTAATTAGGGAATCTCCACGTGCCTTCTCCGGGGGGGTTGGGGGGTGGGGGTGTGTGTGTGTGTGTTCATTAGGGACAAGGAGACTGGCCAGTGCCTGTCCTGGAGTGTCCTCACAGATCACCTCTACCCAGCCTTGACTGCCTCATCTAGGTGTGGAATCACAGCTGAACCAGGGGATGAGCGAGGTGAGGGCTTCTCTCCCATGTCCTCACCTGGGCCACCTGGCAGGCACAGAGCACATGCCCCAGGGGCTGGGGGCTGAGCAGTAGCACGGACGTGCTGGGCACCTGCTCACACAGCTGCCGTACCACCTTCACCAGCACCTGGCAAGGGAGGGGAGATGGTGACCCCATAGCTTCCCAGACTCCCAGCCACGTCCCAGTCAGGGCATAATCCCCCTCCTCCCAGGCCCCCACACTCACGGAAAGGGACTCAGCAGAAACTGTGTCCACAATCACTGGCCCCCCCGAGTGCCGCTTCAGCAACTCTTGGGTTTTTTGTGCAGCCTGTGGGAAAAGGATAGCCGAGGAGTCAGGCTGGGAGGCAAATGACCCCCATTGCTGAACTGAGCCCCAGTTCTGAAACCCCAGTCCCGCATCAAAGGTCTTCAGTTTTGAGTAGAGGTGGCAGGGCTCTGCCGGGAACGGCCTGCTTTTTTTTGGGTCCCACTGTGTCCTTCCTCTCCCCCCTTGCCTCTTTCCTCCGTCATAGCTCTAGGCCCCTACAAATAGGCCGCTGAAGGTGAAAGGACTAAGGCTGGAACACAGATGGACTGAGAAGGGAGGGAGGAAGGAGGATCCGCAGTCAAGGAGCAATTAGGGTTGAAAGGCGTAATCAAGTCAGTTGGCTTCTTGAAGGAGTCTGAGCCAGATTTGGGAGTTGGGGGAGAGAGGCAATTTGACAGAGAGAAGTGGCTGAATGATCTGCTGATGGCCCCCAGCTGGGAGAGCGAGGAGCCCATCACTCCCCCCCCCCCCCCCCCCCCCCCCCCGCTTCCCCTCCTGCGCAGCTCCTGTGTCCCATCGGGGCAATGACTGTCCTCTTACCCGCCCCATTTCCAGCTTTCGGATGGCAGTGTTGGCTCGTCGCTGCAGCGCCTTCAGTGTGGCCTGAAGCTGCCGCCGCTGCCACTGGGGCATCATGGCAGTGTCAACAGCCTATGGCCAGAAGTGGTTCATCAGCCTCGCCCCTCCCCAAATCCCAGCCTCTGAGGGAGAGGCTGGCAGGGCCAGGGAAAGGACCACAACCCACCATATCCTGGCCTGCAGTCTGGGCCAGCATGGGTACAGCAGGAATGCCGGGCACAGGGAAGGGACTAGGATCAGGACGGGGCGGGGAGCAGCTCTGTGATAAGGGAGAGTGGCCCTCACTTCAGTGAGTCGTCCCATGTCCTTGGACAGCTGGTGTGCCTCCTCCACGTCCCGGCTGCCCCGACTCAGACGCTCTGCGGCTGCTTCTACCTCTTGGGCCAGACTCTGGCCTACCTCTCGGGCCTGCAGGGAAAGAACAGGATGGTTGGGCTCCTGGGCACTTGCTTCCCTGGGCCACGTGTCTCCACTCATTGCTGGTCAGGGCCAAGTTGGAAATATTTGATAGTCAGGACAAAACAAGGCACCAAATAATCCTAACACGCCAGCTGCCCTTTGGCATGGTGACATTAGTGCACATGTATGAACACTGTTTTGCTGCTAGGCATCCCTGAGCCTGTTTGTCCCTGCTCCCATCCACGCCCAGGAGCCTCCAGAGCCTGCTGGTGTGCCAACCTGCTGGGCCTGCTCCCCAGTGACTGCCAGCAGTCGGGTGGTTCCCTTGGCAAGCTGGCGTTCCCCAATGATGACCAGGTCCCCTATAGCTCCTGTTCGTAGCAGATGCCTGTGGGCAGAGGGAGAAGGTGGGGTGATGGGGGAGAAAAGAGCAACCTGAGCAACCTGGTGAGGATAGGTGAGGATCTAGGGCCCCAGGCCCAGACAGGCAGAGGAGTGACTCACGTCCCACAGCACAGCTCCACGGAGGTCTGCAGTGCAGCCTGAGAGGCTGGGTTCAGCGCTTGGGCCACAGGCACCCCCACTGACACCACCCGCACAGG